CAAGCCGAAGTCCTCCACATGTTTCAGATGTGGGAAGGAGGGGCACTGAGCAGCTGAGTGTTTCTCTAAGCCTGGACCCAAGGCGACCCCTACTGGAGGGAAGAGAGCTGATAAAGCACCCGTGAAAGCCCGCGAAGCCACCCTAAAAGGGGTAGAAGTCATTGCGTTTGCTCCCCTGAAACAGGGTGTGTTGGGAACTCCGACCATCACAGACAACAGTGAAATTGAAACTGATTCTGATGAGGACCTCCTGGTAGGTCAGAATGGGGGCCCCATGACCATCCCAATAGAACTAAAGGTACCATCCACTGGGGCCCACAGGCAGATGCTAGCACTTCTAGATTGGGGATGCACCAGGTGTGTCATCAGCCCGGACATTGTGAAACAGATGGGGCTAAGACTAAAAATGATGAAAAGGCCCATCACATTCTGTCAGCTAGACGGATCGGTGGCTGGTGGGGGGAAGCCCACTTTGTAATCGAACCAATCGAGATGAGGATGGGGGATCACCTAGAGACTCTGAGTTTTATTGTGGCCCTGGGCATGAAACGGCCCTCCTACTTGGGTTGCCCTGGCTCCGAAAATGGAACCCACGGATAAATTGGAAAATGGGCGTGTTGCGCATCCACTCCAATCAACTAGGGAAGAGAGGGGAGGACCCCTATTACATGGCCAAAGTGGCGAGTGAGGGGGCAGCGACTGCAACGGACCACATTGTGGGGGAAGAAAAGATCCCAAAAGAATACTGGGACCTCCAGGAGGTGTTCAGTGAAAAGGCTTCAGATGTGCTGTCCCCCACCGGCCTACAGACTGTAGGTAAAACTCCTGGGATAAAACTGTAGGTAAAATTCCTGGGGTAAAACTCCCTAAACCAAAAATCTACCCCATGACCCCTCGGGAGTTGGGGGAACTGCAAGACTTTATTGATAAAAACCTAAAACGTGGATTCATCCAACCGGCTAGGCCGTGGTAGCCGCCCCAGTACTATTCCAGGAGAAGACGGATGGGTCTTATTGCCTGGTGGTTGACTATCGAAACCTCAATGCAATCTGCGTAGAAAATGTCTACCCCCTGCCCCTCATGAAGGACATGCTAGCTCACCTGGGCAAAGGAATTTTTTTTTACTAAATTGGACTTGCGGGAGGCGTATTATAGAGTTCGGATTAAGGAAGGTGATGAATGGAAAACTGCTTTCAACTGCCGACTTCCAGTTTTGGGTGCTCCCTTTCAGTTTCCAAGGAGCCCCTGCCGTGTTCATGCAACTGATTAATGAAGTACTGCACGAACACCTGTACAAGGGGGTGTTGGTGTACCTTGATGACATTCTTATTTATACCGGGATCATGGACGACCACGTAAAACTGATGAGGGCCATCCTGAAAAAACTTAGAGCTGCTGAACTGTATGCTAAGCTATCAAAATGTGAATTCCATCAGACTAAAATTGACTATCTGGGGTACGGCATTTTGCATGAGGGGATAGAAATGGATCCAGAGAAGGTCCGGGCCATGTTGGAATGGGCTCCCCCACGCACCTGCAAACAACTATAAAGTTTCCTGGGTTTTGCTAATTTCTATCGACAGTTCATCCCCTTGTTCGCAAAAATTGCCTTACCGATTACTAATCTTCTGAAAACAAAAGGAGAGGAGAGGCCTCCCGGCCTCTCAAGTGGACTATGGACTGTCAGACGGCTTTTGAGAAACTGAAACGACTGTTTGTTGCCAAACCGGTCCTTAAGCATCCCGACATGGAAGCCCTGTTTGTTGTTCAGGCTGACGCCAGCGATGTGGCCGTCGGGGCAGTGTTACTCCAAACAAATGCAGAGGGGAAGTTGCAACCCTGTGCCTGTACCTCTCGGAAATTATCGGAGACCGAGAGAAGGTGGGCCATATGGGAGAAGGAAGCATTTGCTGTTCATTGGGCACTGTTAACGTGGAGGCATTTTCTTGAAGGGGTGAAGCACCCTTTTGAGGTGTGGATTGATCACAAAAACTTAGAGGCTTTGAAAATGCCATGAAAACTGTCACCTAAACAAGTCCACTGGGCTCCACACTTTTAAGCGATTTAATTTCTCCCTGCGCTACCTTCCTGGAGGGAAGAACTTTATGGCAGATGCCCTCTCGAGACTGCCTCAATGCAATAGCATTAGAGAGGAAGTAATTCGTCCTGTTATCCCCTTGAAACAGCTGGCGGCACCAGTGGTTACCAGAGCCCAGGCAAAAGTAAATCCAACCTTGTCTGGCGACTTGAGCAAGCAGTTGAAAGAAGCACTAAAAACTGACAAGTGGTTTTTAGCCCACTCCAATGAGTGTAACGCTTCAGGAGGGTCTCGCCTGGGTGGGAGCTAAACTGTATGTCCCCGCCAGCCTGAGAGGGACAGTATTACAATACATCCATGATGCTAAAATCGCTGGGCATTTTGGTTTCGACATGGGGACAATTTGATGCCCCACAAACTGTTCGCCTCCCCAAATTGCTGGCAGACAAGCGCATCTGCACATGCACATGCGCACGCTCACCCCCCCACGCACATTTCAAGTTTGGGAACTTTTATCCACAGAGGAAGGAGAGGGCCCCTCCCCCAAGCCCAAGCATGATTGGCAGTTTGCAAGCTCAGATGTGGATAAAAGTCTCCAAGCTTGGAATGGTGTGCGTGTGTGCACGTGCGCTTGTGCATGCCAAAGGAGACATTCTTGTCCCAAATCCAGACATCATTGGTGTTTCCCTGTTCAGTGCCTCCTCCCAGCAAAGCAGGAGGCTGCTGCTACATATGGAAGTGCAGAGGAGAAAGTTTGGAGGAAGCAGTTTCCTCCAAGTCCAACTTCTACCTTGACAAATCTCTGGACAGCATGAGGAGGAGGCAGGGAAGCAGCGTTCCGTGGTCCTGCATGAGGAAGGCTGGCCCTTCTCGAAAGGGAATCCCTGTTTTCAATCGTGCATGGTAAGGATGCTGGCTTGTTGGGGCAGCCTTCCCTTACACAGCTCCCCTGCCACCCCCTCCTCCTCTCCAGATATCTGTCAATCCCATTTCAGATAGGTGGTGGTTCAGTTTTTTCTTAAAAACTGCCAGTGATGAAGCACCTGGTGATACTTATTCAGTTACTTGTACTTACAAAATAAACCAAATTCAGGTAAAGGTAAAAGGCCCAGATCTCTCAGTAATGAGGGAAGGCAGGGGCTGCTGAATACCATGGTGGAACCTTTTTCACAGTGGCAGGAGTGCTGTGGAGAAGGGGGGGGCAGCTTAATGTCCCTGGATGACAATATTGGAAGGAGAGGACCTGGAGACATCTCCCCTATATGGCTTGGAGAGATGGGCAGGTGTCCTCAGAGAGAGAGAGTGTCCTGGAAATATCCTGACCTCATCCTGTTCCTAGCTTTTCAAGTGATGCGGAACTGCTTCCTTTCCATCTGGACCCTCATAGCCTCTGGGCACTGGGTGATCACCAGAATGGCATTGCCTGACTGACCAGGCATGGTAATAGAAGACAGTGTGTGGGTGTCTCAGGGATTGATGTCTTCCTGCTACTTTTTGTTATTTTCCTAATACTATGAAACAAGAATCAAGTGATCCTGTATTACACCCTGTTCTACCAAATGATGTCACCCAATTATTTCATCCACAAAGGAACTGGAGGTTGTGAAGATCTGCGTGGGGAGAAACATCTACACCTCAACCCAAATAGGGAAGTTTTGGCCCACCTGGGTCTGGAGAGAGCTCATCGTTTATATTTGCTCACAGGGCAGACAAAACCTCACCTTCTCCAGATGTTGCTGTCTACTGTTGGGAGAGAGAAGAAGGGCCTAGCCTTCTCCAACAACCCCCACTCCTACAACCTCCAAATAAGCAGAAGATGGGGCTGCAGGGTGGAGAGAGCCCCTGGGCATCAGGCCAAGAAACAGTTGACAAAGACAGAGGCAGAAAGGGGTCTTGGGGGGGGACGGTGCCCACTGACTGCCCTTCCACTGACTTCTTGATAAGCAGCTGCCAGGCAGAAGGAACGTCACCCTCGGTGTGCAGGTTCGGAAAAAGATTGGAGGACTGACTTTGGGGATAAGGAAAGTTGGGGCATCTTTTGAGACTGTGGGAAGAGGAAGTTGAGAGAGTTCAGGTGCATTAAAAACTTCGCGGACACTTCTCCCCAGATATTTGCTTCCTCCCGCCCTCTCCCCTTCCAACTTGGCACTGCTGCTGCTCCTCACTCCCCCCCGCCCCGCCAGTGCTGGCAGTCAAGTGCGGAGCCACCACTGTTTCTCCCCAGCCCACCACACTGCAACCTGGAAGGAAAAGAAATCCATGAGGCCTCCTGGAGCCCAGCGCTGGAACCTGGTAGGGGCTGATCCAGTCATCCAGAGAACAACTTCCTCTCCTTCTTCCAGCTCCGCTTCTGCAGCCCAGTCTGGCCTGGCTGGCTGCATCCCACTAGGTGGCGCTGAGCGAGACTGTGCAGACCTCCCTCAGCAGATCCTGGGACAGGCTGCTCACCCTACCCTCCCTCCCTGGCTCCGCAGCCGCTCTCCTTGGGTGGGGCGCCTGCAGCCTTTTGGAAATGGAGTCCCAACTCAGCCCGGGAGGGAAGAGGCTCAGAACTGGCCAGAGCCTTCAGCCCAGCTGAAGGGCTGCCAGCCAATGAGCAGCTGAGGGGCCAAGAAGCTTCAGCTGCTTGAGAGAAGCGACCAGATGGATTGGGGTGGGTGGGGGCCAATCCCTCTCTGTCTCCACGGCAGCCCTATGGGTCAGGTCTAAGCACATCACGGGCCAGATCTGGCCCGCAGACCTTGAGTTTGATACCCTTGCTATAGATGAAGCAAAGTTGTTGAGAAGAAGTTACCAATGTTAACTGATACTACAGTTCAGAAAGACTGGGAAAGTGGTCTAAAGGGAGGTTTTCCTAGGAAGTCACAGCTGTTTAAACATTTATCCTGAGGGAGTTTACAATTCTTAGTACTCTTTTAGATATTGATTCTGAATCATAGCTTATTATAAACCGCAACAATGCTAAGGTGCAATAAAAGCTTTTATTGTGCAATCGGAATAATTAGACAAAACCTGCATATATTCCTTTACTATCTTAGATTATATAACTAAAAAGATTTAAATCATTATTTTAAAAAGTATGATTTTAGCTGCTACTTCTATTGCAGCTGCTCCTTCATTAAAACAGTGAATTTGTCTTAAGTTTCTATGTATCAATATACAAGTCCTGCAGGATCAGACCAAAAGCCTATGTCATCCAGTATCACATAATGAGCAACCAGAGAAATGTCTTTAGAAAGTTACCAAGAAGGACATGAGTGCAATAGCACCATCACAGCACATCCCTTTGTTCCCCACTGAGAAGCACAGCAAAATACTGGAGGCAATACATAGTCACAATAATTACTATTTTTAAAAAAGCATATTATACATTTTCTACAGAAGCACACAATATCTTTTTAAAACAGGGTTGAGTTCCATGTCTGAAAATGTGGATACTTCAATAGATGGTCTTAGAAATTTACCAGGAGTCCTTAATTTATGATGAGCCATTTGTTCAGCTGCTCAAAGTTACAACACTGCTGAAAAAAAATGGACACGACCCATATCCAAAGTGACAACCATTGCAAGACACATGCAGTCACATGATCAAAACTTGGGAGCTCATCTAGTCGGCTGTACTTATAACAGGGATACATCAATTCCCCCACCTGTCTATTTCCCACCCTCCTTTGGCTGCCCTGATCCCTGCTTTGTGGAGTGGCAAGCAGCCCCTGAAGTGCAGTAAAGTGCGAAGGCTCAGCTGTCCCACCTAGTCAAAGCAGCTGGGAAGCCAAATATTTGTTCACCTACCATTGCCTTCTCTTTCTGCAATAGCCTTTCATCTTTTGCATCCAGCCACCGTGATTGAAGCCAGCTGCTTTGTTGCCTTTGCTGCTTTCTTTTCAGACATGCTATCCCACACACTTTAGCTTCTAGAGAACATTTCCTACACATGGCTCCTTTGGAAAGCTGAGCTGCCTTCAGAAAGCTTTTGAGGCTTGCCAAAGCATTGGGAATGTGGCAGGCTATTTGAAGAACAGTAGATGTCCCTATTCTCACAATACGTTGCAGGACTTCAGAAACTTTCTGGAGGCTCAGGAAACCATATGCAGGAAGCATTCGCTACAGAAGCTGAGCTAGCCCCCAACACTTTCACATTGGGCAAAACCACTTCTGACTTTCCCCATTGGGTAGCATTCTTATTTGTGGTATGCTGTTGAGCCAGCCTGGGGAGTCATTTGTAGGGAGTGTTTGGTTTGCTCCAGGAGGTTTTTTTTTTTTTTTTTTTTTTTGCAAAATGGTATTTTGACACATTATGGCTCAGGGGCTGTTTTAAGGGTGAGGTTGGGTTTTTGGGGTTTTTTTTTGTGTGTGTGTGTATGTGAAGTCAGGGTGGGCAGGCCTTGTCAGCAACAGAGCAAGAAAACAGTGGAGGTCAGCTGAGACAATAGAACTCAGGGTGACAGGGGTCTGGAGTGCAGGGTGGTGAGGGCAACTTTAACTGGGATTAGTCTGGGGTGGCTCTGGCTTCCCAGGGCATGGCAAGCAGTCCCAGAGCCATGCTATCCCACAAAGCAGATGAAGGGCAGCCATAAGGAAGACATAGGTGAGTGAGGGGAGTTGAAGAAACCAAGTCCAGAATGGCTCAGATTCCAGTGGGCATTCACTTAACAACCCACTATTTTCAGTTAATAATAGCAAGGGGGAGGGCTGGAGTTCCTGTCATTTAGTATGATCCTATGATGTCTCACTTTATGACACATTGCTTAACAATGGACATTCCGGTCCCAATTGTGGTCATAAATCAAAGACCACCTGTAAACTGCAGCTTCAGCTTGCTTATCTTATCTATATATTTTACATATAGACCTTGAGAGTCTTCTAGTCCAATCCCCTATTCAAGCAGGAGACCCTATACCATTCTGGACAAATGGCTGTCTAATCTCTTTTTAAAAACCTTCAGTGATGGGGTACCCACATGTACTGGAGGCAAGCCATTCCAATGATTAATTGTTCTGATGGGAAATGTCTCCTTAGTTCTAGGTTGATACACTTTGTTTGTAGGCTAGGAATAATATAGATTTTTCCAGTCATAATTGACTATGAGTTGTGCAGAATTCCCCCTTCATAAGCTTGGATAAAAGCAAAACAATAGACAGTAAACAGCCATACAATGTAATGAATATAATAATAAGTATAAAACCCAGGAATAAAACACAATCAGCAAATGATAACTTCAAATTGCTTGAGGAAATAATTGTTCAAACCTCTGGGCCTACTTAAATTGTAGACATCCTAAATGCCAAAAAGAGAATTAAAATCTTAGAAAGTGCTGCTCCATAGAAGGATGGCAGCAATAGAGAAGTCATGCTTTTGTGGCTTCTCGAGATGACATTCCCTGAGCAAGAGGATATGAAGAGAACCTCACCTACTTGATCTTCTCAGGCAGGATGATGTTATTGGGAAAAGGCAGATTTCTAGACCCTGAACCATGAAGGGCATTAAAAGTGACGATCAGCAACTTGAATTACACCGAAAAGCCAACCAATAACTAATGGCAACAGCAATTACATAGGTGCAATGAGAAATGGTTGTGACTATTTGGGTTGCCTCATCAGTTTTTAAAATTTCTCAAGAAAAGTGCAAAAGTCCAGTTGAGAGGAGATTAAGATCTGAATATTGCAAGCAAAACTTTTCATTCTAAGAGGGGTTGTAACTGTTGCAGTTATTTGCCGCTCACTCCTTGAGTAGGAACTATAAAGTTATGGCTAATCATATTTCAGAGCAATTCTCGGTGCAGAATTAAAATCAGAGCATTTTTGAAATTGGGAATGAGAGACTTACAAACCAAGGTCAATCTTAAGCCTCAACTCGGTCCTCCTCATCCACAACTAATTAGGTTTCAAACATCTGGACAACATTTCAACAGGATCTCCTGTTTGACCCATGATTGAGAGGTAAATCAAGTATCATCATCAAACTGATATTTTATGCCATGACAGCAGATAGCCTGCTTCCGGGGCTGATTAGAGTTGAGAATGAGATGAATGGATGGCTCAGAACACACTCTTTGTTTTCATGTGATGTTAGTTTCTGTATAGGAATTGGCTCCTCGCCCTCCCAACAAAGGCTATGTACTTTGTAGTAATTATTCAAGAAGTACAATTTCTTCTATAAACTAGCAGCATTAGAAAAAACTTCATTTGCTGAATTTTTGCCTAGCTTTGAGAGCACAAAACATAGCAAAAATGAATTTTCTTTTGAAATTTTTCATTATTGTTCTTCACAATCTTTGCTGAAGATATATTCTTTAGGCAACCAATGTCTCTATTTGACATTTAGTGGTATTTTATTTCAGTAGTTGATTTTTTTACAGTAATCATGCATATCATCAATGGCTTAGGACCTGGGTACCTAGGAGACCGTCTTTTGCCACCAATAGCCTCCCACCAACCAGTTCGTTCTCACAGGGAGGGACTACTCAGGGTACCGTCAGTCAAATTATGCCGACTGGCGACTCCCAGGGGGAGGGCCTTTTCTGTGAGGGCTCCAACCCTTTGGAATGAACTGCCCCCTGAGATACGAAATATCCCTGATCTCCGTGCTTTCCACCGTGCCCTCAAAACCCTGATGTTCCAACAGGCGGGGCTAAACATATGAACATGTGAATGTTTTTAAAATGTTATCTAATTTTAGGTTCTATTTAATTGGGCCAAACTATGTTATAATAATAATTTTAATTAGCAATTTTATGATGTTTGTGTATCTATATTTTCCTTGACTGTACACCGCCTTGAGTCCTACGGGAGAAAGGCGGTATAGAAATATAATAAATAAATAAATGTGATTTAGTGTCTGATCACACTGAACATTAAAATGCAGTGCAATGTCATAATAACTTTCTAGTTCCCTCTTTTTTGTCAGCACTTCCCATTTCAGTGAAACTATCAAAGAACCTCTACTGGTTCCTTGATAGTTGATGATTTAGATCAGGGGTGTCAAACTCAATTTCATTGAGGGCCGCATCAGGGTTGTGTTTGACCTGGGGGGGGGCAAGGTGGGTGTGGCCAAGGTGAATGTGGCCAGCTTAACATCATTCCTGTTGGGGGCGCCTGTGGTGGCCCAAGCACTCTGCCAGCAAAAACAGGCTCCAGAACTCCATTTTCGGTTGCCATGGCCTCCTGCAACCCTCTGCCAGTGAAAACGGAGCTCGGGAGCCCATTTTCACTGGCAGAAGCACCATGGGCCGGTCCTTCGCTGTTTCCAGGGCGGCCCTGCAGGCCAGATCTAAGTACCCCCAGGCTGGATCTGGACCCCGGGCCTTGAGTTTGACACCTCTGATTTAGACTTATCTTGGAGCTTGAAGCTCAGTTTATGCAAAACCACTTCTATCTTCAGCATGATTCATATAGAGTGGGCAACTTTTGTAGAGCTAACTACAAAAACAGTCAATATTCTTTTGTGGCTAAACCATCTAAAGAAGGTCAGGGTATTAGTTAGGAAACAGTATTTCATGGAAGCTTATTGTACATATAAGAAGAAAAAAGATGCTTCCAAAGAATCCACTGAAAGTTGATTGGTATAAATCACCATCCAATAAATTGATACTGATTAAATTACTGTGTATAGCACTGGTGAAATAATATACAATCAAAAGGAATATTCGACAATAACTGAGAGTTGAAATAAATTTCATACTTGAAACCTACTAAAATCAAGAAATGCAATAGAAATATCAAATTTTAAAATGTTCAGTTTGGATGATCAAATAGGAAATTTACTGACTTTTAGATGTCCATGCATATTTGTTTCGATTTGATAAAAATCCCTGTGAGAGGGGGGCTTCCAGCGGTGATGTCAGCATGGAGTGGGCGACGGGATGGTGCTCCATTCCTGAAGCTCGAAATATCTTCACTAAAGGCATTACCAACAATGAAGAGAACAGCAAATAAAAGAGGAAGCTCCAGAGAATTGGGTGGAAGGCAAACTCCCAAGTAGACTGGAGCGGCACTCTTAAAACTTAGTGAAGAAGGATTTTTAATTTTAATTTTAATTTTTAAATGTTTTTATAATGGTTTTTTAAATGCATTGTAAGCCGCCCTGAGTCTTCGGAGAAAGGCGGCATATAAATTGAACTAATAAATAAATAATAAATAAGGAGCCGGTCTTCAAGATTGGCCTGGAGCGCTGGTGGCCGCGAGAGTGGGAAGTGAAAATTTAAAGTGAAAGCTTCGTTCCGGAAATGTGAGGAATCCCAGAAAGAGGTGAGGAAGTTTTGGCGAGATGGCGCGAAATTAAGTAAGGAAGGCGAATAAGAGGAAAGACACAAAGTGTTGAGAAGGCGGCCACTAAAAGAGAGCAAAGCAGAGAATTGAGAAACAGATTGGATTAAGAAAATCATGAAGAAGGGGAGAATCCAAATAGAGGAGCTGATAAAAAAGAAAAGATTAGAAACAGATTAAAAAGATTGTGAACGAGAGAGGAAACGGAAGATACCATTGGAGATGTATTGACTGAATGAAAAATGGCGATTGAAGGATTTTGAGAAACTGACATGAAGGATTATAAAAGGTGAAGGGACAATTGGACAGTGGAGAATGAAGTGTTAACTAAGGGGACTGAACTTTGAGGAAGGAAAAGATGACTACAAACAAGAAAGTATTGACACAAAGAAGGGGACAGTGTTTATTGAATAATTTGGAGACACTGAATATACTGGAAGACAAGAAGAGGAGACATCTGGTGGAGTGGTGGATATATTGAGGGCAAGGAAAATCTGGAGAAAAGGCTGATGCAAAGTTGCAACAGACAGACACGAGCGGATAGTAAGTGATAAGAAGGAAAGTGATTATAGACATTGATGTAAATGAAATGGTCAGAATGAATTGAATTAAGGTATAGAGATATAACTGAATAAGTGAATTGTTTGAAGAATAATATTATTGTATCGTAAAGAAATATACTTAGTTGAATAAGAGTGATAATAGAAATTTAGAAAATTGAATAGGTATAAGTATTGCGATTAGAGTTATAAAGTGATAAGAATATCATAAAATATAATATATAAGGGTGAGAGAGAAAACAGGAAAATATTGCTGTTAAAGTATAGTAGAGGTAATCCTCAGCTTGAACTTAAATCCTAATACCAGTATATTGATATATGTTAATTTGGAAGAATATTGTACAGGGGGTAAAGATGGCAAGCACAGCAACAATAACCAAAACAGGCAAAAAAGCAGCCATAAACACTACACCAACAGATTCTCCCACAAGTCAAAGATCGATAGTGACTATGTTAGGAAAAGAAAAAACAGAACAGGCAATGAGTACACAAAGTATGCAGATAGCATTACAATTAATACAGGAAACAATGATGAAGACCCAGGAGGCCATAGCAGATAACCACGAGGAGACGAGAGAACACCACAAAGAAATTAAAGATGAAATTGGGGGAACAAAAACTGAGATAAAAAGTGTGAATGATAAGATAAGGAATATACAACAAACAATGGTGGAAAATGAACAGAGAATCCAAAAAGTGGAAACAAAAATTGATCAGATTGACAACCAAATGGAAATGTGGGAACAGAAATTGATGCGAATAAATAGAGAATTGGCTGAATTGATCATATTTCTGGAAATGGAGAAAGCTTCTTATTTCCTTAGATTTCAAAATATTGTAGAAGAGAAAGAAGAATATTTAGGAGAGAAAATGGCAGAAATCGTGGCGGAGATATTAGGAAAAGATAAACAGGAAATAAGACGAGATATTGATGAAACCTATCGAGTATACACAAACTACTCACGAAGACATAGGTTGGTGAGTGAGGTACACATTAAATTCACAAAATGGTCAATAAGAGACGAAGTATATAAAAGGACAAGAGAGGAAACATTAACATATAGAGGCAAAGAAATCATAGTATTGAAACAGGTATCAAGAAGGATAAGAGATCAAAGACGCCAATATCAATTTTTAACAACGCAATTAATTAAATATAAATATATTGATGGTTGATACTTGAGGGTTTACTTGTGACATGGCAAGAAAAAAAGTATAGGATCAATTCACTGGAGAAGGCAAAATAATTTTATGAACACCACTTCGTGCAGGGGGATGATCAAGGAAGTAGGGAAGAATTAGAGACTAGAAGTCAGGAGGAAGAGAAATCGGAAGAACTAGAAATAGAGAAAGACTTACAAAAGAAACAAGAAAAAGAAAGGGTAGAAAGAGGAGCAAAAGGAAGGGTAGTAAGAGAGACTAGAAACACAAAAAGACAGATCAAGTAGAAGATGGGAGAAGCAATTAAGCTTTTCTTGGTAAATATTAATGGACTAAATATCCCAAAGAAAAAGACGCTAATATTTAATAAATTAAGGAAATTGGAAGCTGTAGTGATATGCCTCCAAGAGGTTCATATACCAAAAAATACAGAAAATTATTAGAAAATAGAAAATTAGGAACATTATACACAACTTTAGCAGATAAAAAGAAAGGAGGTATTGCCATATATGTAAAGGAAAAAATAAAATAAAATCTAAGATACGCAGACAACAAAAGTAGAATTTTGATGGTGGAATTGGAGATAGAACAGAAACAAATGCTACTTACATTAATTTATGCACCAAATAAAAATCAACAAGAATTCTTTACAAATGTACACAAGAAATTAGTGGACATGGACTATGAAAAGATTTGTATGATTGGGGACTTTAATTCGGTGGTGGAAGTTGAGAGAGACTATAAAAGTAGTAAAAAAAGAAAAAGAAAAAAAGTGTATTACCAAGAGTCTTTTTTGATATAGCATCTGAGTTCAATCTGCGAGACTTATGGAGAGAGACACATAGAACACATAAACAATATACATTTTATTCATACCCACATCAATCATGGTCCAGGATCGATATGGCCTGGACAACAGCAGAAATTCAAAATGAAATAGAAGAAATTGAATAGGAGTAAATGATTGGGCCGATCACAATCCAGTTATATTAAAATGGAAAACCCAAAAACAAAATAAACGATGGACAATGAATCAGAATTTGTGTAAAGATAAAAAATTTAGACAGATGTTAGAGAGGGAGTTGAAAACATTTTTTCAAATAAATAAAAAAGAAGATACTTCGATACAAAACTTGTGGGATACCACAAAAGCCTATATAAGGGGATTGACCATCACATATAATTCTAAGAAAAATGAAGAAAAGAGAGTGCAACTAGAAAGCCTGCAGGAAGAATTAAAAAAAAAATGAATATGAAGTACAAAAGGATCCACAAAATAAAAAGATAAAGGAAAAAATGGAACATTATGAAACATAAGATTAATTTGATAACACAAAAAGAAATGGCACAGAAAATTAGGATAGTGAAACAAAATTATTTTGAGAATGCGAATAAAACAGGCCAATGGCTAGCATATAAATTAAGAAAAGAAAAAGGAAGGAGAATAATACAACAGTTACAAGATGAAAATGGTATAATACAGTATAGGAGAGAAGAAAAAAAGGAAATAATACAAAACTTCTTTACAAAGCTTTACAAGCAGGAAGACATAGCAGATGGAAAGTTAAACAATACATAGAAGAGCCAAATTGGGAAAAATTTCTGATGAACAAAGAGAAATGTTAAATAGACAAATAACAAAAGAAAAGAACAATGAAGTACCTGGCCCAGATGGGATTCCGATTGAGTTATATAAAAATCCACAAGAGGTACTACAATGGATAATGTTGGAGACTTATAATGAGGCGATAGAAATAGCAAAAATTCCAGCAACCTGGACAGAGACAATCATTACCCTCATACCCAAAGAAGGCACGGATATACAACAAATCCAAAACTATAGGCCAATTTCTTTGCTGAACACAGATTATAAAACATTTGCAACAATAATAGTGGAGAGATTAATTTTTTTTTTGAATAATTACATTCGGACCAAAATGGTTTTCTGACGTGGCAGCAAATTAAAAATAACACGAGGATAATAATGAATGTTCTCGAATATTATGAAAGCCATCCGGAAAAGCAAGCGGCACTGGTTTTCCTTGATGCCCAAAAGGCCTTTGACAATTTGAATTGGAACTTCATTACAACACAATTAAATTATATGGAATTGGGAGAAAGATTTGAAAAAATGGTGGGGAAAATATATTCCAAACAAACAGCCAGGGTAGTTATAAAAACAGAAAAAATTGATATTACAAAAGGGGTTAGGCAAGGGTGTCCCCTTTCTCCTCTTCTATTTATTTTATCACTCGAAACTCTTCTAATGAAAATTAGGGAAGATCAGGAAATAAGGGGTTTAAAAATTAGGAAGGAAGAATACAAGACTCAAGCGTTTGCCGATGACACGGTATTCATTTTGGAAGATCCATTAGAAACAGGTTCTAAATTGACACAAAAGATAGAAGAATTTGGTGAAGTAGCAAGACTCAAAATTAATAAGGATAAGTCAAAATTAATAGCAAAAAATCTTACAAAGGGTTAGGAAAAGGAATTGGAGGACAAAATGAAAATGAAGATAACTAAGAAAATAAAATATCTGGGAATTTGGCTTACAGCAGAATGCTCCCCAATTAAGGAGGACAACTATGATAAATTGATACACCAAATAAAAAAAGATTTAGGAAATTGGGAAAAATTACAAATCTCATTTCTAGGGAGGACCGCAACAATGAAAATGAATATATTGCCGAGAATTTTATTTCTGTTCCAAATGATACCATTAAAACTAGGAAAAACATTCTTTCAAGAATTAAATAAATTAATTTGCAAATTTATATGGCAAGGGAAAAAGCCCAGGATTAAATTAAAACTTTTGCAAGACACAAAGGATAGAGGGGAATTGGCGTTACCAGAATGGGAAATTTATCACCAAGTGGCAAGTTTAGTATGGTTAAAAGACTGGAAGGAGCTGAAAAATAACAGAGTGCTAACAATAGAAGGTCATGACCTGCAAGCAGGGTGGCATGCATTCCTGTGGAATGAGAAATATAAATCATATAAATATTTTCAAACACATTTAATCAGGAATGTATTGCTACAGATTTGGAAAAAAACAAAACAAAAACACTATACTAAAATCCCAATGTGGTTATCACCAACAGAAGCATTGATATACCCAAATTTATTGGAGAAAAATAAGATAATTAGAAATAAGGAATTGGTAAATGATCAGGGAGATTTGAAAACGAAACAAGAATTGGAACAAGAAATTGGTAGGGTGATGGATTGATGGACATTTGCACAAGTGCAATCTAAACTTGTAAGAGATAAAAAGATATATGAAATACGAAAGGAGCCGTAAGAATTAGATAAAATTATTCATGGAACAGAGATAAAATTAATTAGTAATATATACCAATATCTACTGAGGTATAAAGTGGAAGAAGAGATAGTTAAAGATACCATGATTAGATGGGCCAAAAATTTTGGCTACAATATAGAATTGGAGAAATTGGAAAAATTATGAGAAATAAACATTAAATTGACTCTTTTCATTTCATTTTCATTTCATTTTATTAAATTTGTATACCGCCCTACTCCCGAAGGACTCAGGGTGGTGAACAGGCACAAAATAAAACACATAAATACAAAAGTTAAAAAACATAATTAAAACCAAATTAAATAATTTTTGCCCGAGACAATTAAAATTCCCAATAATTTAAAACAAATTAAAATTTCACTTTAAAATTTAAAAGAAGGGGAGAAAATTAGGCCAGGCTGGCCTGCTGGAATAGGAGTGTCTTCAAAGCACGGCGGAAGGTGTGCAGATCTCCCCTCCGTATCTCCGGGGAGAGCTCGTTCCAGATAGTAGGTGCCCCCACAGAGAAGGCCCTCCCCCTAGGGGCCGCCAGTCAACATTGTTTGGCTGACGGCACCTGGAGGACTCTTTCAACGGCATTCAAGGAAAACCAGTTAAAAATGTTCTACAGATGGCACTTCACACCAGTACAACTGGCTAAAATGTTTCCGAACAATTCTCCAAATTGTTGGAAATGTAAAAAAGTCCCCGGAACATATTATCATCTCTGGTGGACATGTCCCAATGCGAAAAAATATTGGATTAAAATTAGAAGTTATATAGATAGAAGAGATAATTGGCTATAATGTGGATTGGAAACCAGAAACGTTTTTACTGGGGATATTGAACAGAACTTACAGCAAAGAAATTAGATATTTGATTCTGCATATAATTACAGCGGCAAGGATAATCTACGCGCAGTCCTGGAAAAGGGAAAAGATCCCAACAGAGGAAGAAATAGTTAAGAAAATCCTGGACTGTGCGGAGATGGATAAATTAATGAAAGAAATAAAAGAAAAGGAAGATACAGAATATTATCAAGTATGGACTAAGTGGTATGAGTGGCTCGAGATTAGAGAAAGTAAATGTGAATAAACGATGGAGAGAAGAAGGTGACAAATGTGTAAAATATTATAAATGAAATAAAGGGATGATAAAGATAATGATAAGAAAGGATGGGAAAAATGGGGAATGTGTATAGTAGAAAGTAAGAGGAACGAAACTGATATGTAAAAAGAAACACATATCATGTGTTTGTGTTTTGTATGTTGTATTGTGTTGTGTTGTTGTTGTAAAATCAATTTAAAAAAAATCCCTGTTAGAAAAAGAGAGCTAGGAATTATAGTAATAACAGAAGTAAACTTGTAAAAATAGCTACATTCCAAGATGACTCCAATATTAAAAATAATAATATGAGCACTTATGTTGCTTTTCAAATTTGGACGTGTTCCTATATGAGATTGATACTATTTAACTGACATGTTCAAGGAGTACAATTAGATAGATATTCAACCCATTAAGTTATAGATGCATATAGCAAAATGCATTGGAAAGATTCATTGACAATCTCTCCCACCCTATTTCAATATTTCAGAAAGTTAATACTGAGCAGGAAAGACACCTCTCAGGTGAACAGAGAGCAGATTAATTTCAGTATATTGTGCTCAGTTCATCAACCCTTTTCTTTGGTTTCAAATGCCCACTATTGAGTAATATGCCTACATAGCAAGTGATACTGATATGAAGAGCTGAAGGGTTATATGGACTGGCAGGAAGGCATAACTAGCAAAGATTGTTCTTCCTGCCAGACAATTGGGTGGCAGGCAAAGGGAGGTACTCAAGCATAATATTGCTTTATAAGAGTTTCTCCATCTTGGATTAGGTTTAGGTTTTTTGCTATGCTTTTTGAGAAAGGCAAACAAGATCCCTGGGCACCTGAATGGTCAGAACTCCTGCTAGATTTTTGGGTGGAATTTAATCACATTTATAGAAGTCAAACCCAGCCCAAACAGAGAAGGGAACTGTTGATCTAAGTTAGGAAAGGCACATATTGAGTTTCTTCCTGCTTCTGAGGGACGTGACTATACAGAGATTTTGTTGGTTTTCACCCTCAGGAATTAAAAGATATATTAATGAAGCCATTTTATATATAGTACAAGCCCAAAACCTCTCCACTCAGGGCAATCAGATCAATGCCTAAAGAAATACATTCATAAATTTCTGCAGGGAAACTGAAGAGAACACAACATAATTTTTGGACCAGAGTGTATTCTCCTCCTCTCACCTCTCTCCAAAAATAATGCTTTGATTTTGAATTGCACTTAGTTAACAACTCTTATGAAATTTTGAAACAAGAAACTCTGTTAGTGATCATAATCCACCATAGAGAGTCTCATATGAAGTACTGTTGCATTTTTGTTCTGCTCACGCAAGGCAATTTCATTTTTGAATCATTTTCATCCTATAGATATCTAAAAGTAATTTGAAGAATATATCAAGAATGTTGTAGTTGGGTTGCAGTTTCACCACTAAAAATTCTCACATTCAGGTTATGCAGATTATTTTTGTTGAACCTGTCTAAACAATGAACTAAAGCAGAAATAGTATGCGGAATGCATTCCTATGGCTAGCTAATTGCAAGAAATCTGTTAGAAAAGAGACCCACTTTTTCCTCAAGATGCTTCCTGCCATCACTTCCTGAGAATAGAAAGCTGCTTTCAGGAAATGTAGGATCAATTCCAACACCTGGCTCAGGAAGTTTTCATAAAGAAACTGCTATGTTGACCATTTTGGCTATAAAAGTGAGGCACTGCTGCAAATAAAAGACAGTTTTACTCAAAAGACAACAAGTCTGGACTATGACTTTCACTTTCTAAGGTTGGTATCTTTGCTTCTGAAGGCATCTTATAGCTTTGGTGTTCAGGAATGTTTTTACTAGCACTTAAATCAAGTCTAAGAGCCACATTTTCTGGGAGAGTGGAAGAAGATAAACTGTGAATTGCACTTTGTTTGGGCTCTATATTCTCCTTATGAATGAGATCAGGCACAGCAAATGCCCTATTGCTGGTTCCAACTTCCCTCTGGGTCAATGAATTAATCTCTCTAAAAGCTGCCTCTGTATTAGTAGGTAGGCGCTGAAGTTTCCGGAGTTCCTTAGGAAGTAAGGTTTCTGTAGTCTTCATCTGTGGTTCGGAAGCAATCAGCAGATCTTGAGTGGTTTTCAGAGCTCTTGGTGTACGCTTTTTGGTACTCAATGGGGGTGGATTAAGCCTTGGAATTACACTTGTTGGTGTCTGCCTAAAAGTTCAGGAAAGATTAATAGAAGTATTACATTAAAACTTTCACTTAAGCAAAAACATCTCCTTGTCTCCTTTCCATCCAGTATTTATTCTCAACTGCCTCAGAGAAATTGTTAAACAGAGTCCTAAATATCAGTGCTCAAATTGACATGGAGTTATTGGCAAAATTAGGTTTTTAAGTTGGTTGGCTACGAATAAAACTATTTTTCAATTTGAAAAATACCTGAGAAATACCTATTCTAGACCCAGGTCTGAGTTGTTGTATTCTGTGGCCAAATATGGGCTCTTCCACCATCTGCTATACCATGAGAGGCTGTGTAATGTGATGATTAGCTACCAAAGATATTATTCATGATTGGCAACTATATGCCCCTCTTAAGTTTAGATGCTTAACATCCCTAGTTGAAAGAACAGCCCACTGGAATTTGACTTGTAAATTGTCCTATTTCCTCCTGGGCTCTAACCTATACTCTGTGAACAGAAGGAACATTGTACTTACCTGAAGGTTCTTTCTCCTTGTGCTGCGTGAGAGTCCATTGAATGGGTTAATGCTCATGTTACTGGCCAGAGACTGAGTAAGAATTTGCATAAACACACCTCCTCTTCCTGTCTAGCCCCAGTTCTGAAACGAAGTCCAGATCTGAAGAAACAGAAACTTGAACGGAAAAGGAGTTAATAAAAGTCCGGGACCCCCCACCCCCCAAAAAAGGGAAGGTATGGACTCTCATGCAGCGCAAGGAGAAAGAACCTTCAGGTAAGTACAGTGTTCCTTCTCCCTTGCGCTGCTTAGAGAGTCCATTGAATGGGATATACCCAAGCTAAATATCCCTAGGGTCAGGCAAACCCTCCGGAGGAAGGACCTGTTGGAGCACTCTGCGACCAAAGGCGGCTTTGGCTGATGCAAACATATCCAATTTGTAATTGCGAATGAAAGGCGTTGGTGAAGCCCAAGTAGCCGCCCTGCAGATCTCGAGAAGAGGAGCCTGGGTGGCCCAAGCAGCGGTGATGGCCGCACTACACGTTGAGTGCGCTGTAAGGCATTCAGGTAAAGGCTTGTTCTTTCAATTGTAGGCCATGAAAATGCAGGCTTTGAGCCAGCGAGCGATAGTGGAAGAAGACACCTTTGAACCAAGGGAGCCCGGTTGATAGCAAATGAATAATGATTTGGATTTACAGAACGGAGCTGTCCTGACGATGTACCTTTTCAAGGCCTGATGAACATCCAAAGAGTGCCAGCGGCATTCGGAGGGATGAGTAGGCCTGGGGCAGAAGTCAGGTAACACAACCTCTTGGGCCCTGTGAAACCAGGTGTTGACTTTCGGGAGGAAGGTGGGATCCATCCGCAAAACGACCCGGTCCGAATGAAATATGCACAAGTCCTTGCAAAGGGCTGCAAGCTCGGACACCCTGCGAGTGGATGTGACCACAACAAGGAAGGCAACCTTAAAGGTCAGTAATTTGAGGCTGGTGGAGGACAGAGGCTTGAAAGGTGATGTTGTTAAGGACTGAAGGACAAGGCAAAGATCCCAGGAAGGATACCTGTGGATGGGGGGGGGGAAGAGACTAAGGTTGGAAGCCCCCCATAGGAAACAACGAATTCATGGATGCTGGGACAGCGTGCCGTGATCCTTGCAGGAGAGAACAGTTGCCAATGCCACGACTTGTTGTTGTAGGGTGTTGACTGCTAGGCCAACGTCCAGCCCCGCTTGAAGGAAGCCCAACACCTGTGGAATGGACGTTTCAGTGGGGTCAATCTCCGAAGAGGAACACCAGTGACGAAAGGAAGTCCAAGTCGCATCGTAAATACGGGTGGTGGACCCTCTGCGAGAAGAGTGGATATTTCATCTGAAGAAAAGTGCTCCCTCTTCAGGATCTCCCTTTCAAGTGCTAGGCGGCTAACTGGAACCACTGGGGCTCCAGATGGTGGAGAGCCCCTCTGATCCGGAGGGATCCTCCATGGGTGGCTGATGGATAGGCCCATGAGGTCTGCAAATCATGTCTGCCGAGGCCAAAATGGGGCAACGAGGATGACCTCCGCATACTCCTCCAAAATCTTCCGCATGACCCTCGGTATCAGAGGTATTGGAGGGAAGGCGTAAAGAAGGCCCGGAGGCCACTGGCAGTGGAGGGCATTGGTCCCTTCAGCCCCCGGTATCCAGAATCTGGTGAGGAAGTGAGGAAGCTGTGCGTCCTCCAGACTGGCGACGACATCGATTTGAGGCTGGCCAAAGCGTGACACAATTTGCCGAAAGAGAGTGGGATGAAGTTGCCACTCTGCCTGGTCGATGGTCGACCTGCTCAGCCAGTCTGCTCAGGTATTGGAGGTTCCTGAAATATGTTCTGCTTGCAGGGAAAGCAGATGTCTCTCCGTCCATAGTCCCAGTTGCACGGCTTCGCTCATTAGGACCCTGGAGCGTGTTCTGCCTTGCCTGTTCACGTGGGCCTTGTCGTGATGTTGTCCGTCCTGAGAAGCACGTGGTGCTCCGCCAGTTGGCACTGAAAGTGGTGGAGAGCGAGATGGGCGGCACGCAACTCTAGCCAATTGATGTCATTGAGAAGGTCCCTGGGAGTCCAACATCCCTGAGTGACCTGGTCGTTGAGATGTGCTCCCCAGCCGAACAGACTGGCATCTGTGGTAAGAATCAACCTCTGGGGTTCATGGAAGTTAGAGCCCCTCATCAAAGCTGTGGACATCCACCAGTGGAAGGATTTGAGTACCTTTGGGGGGACCCTGATCTGAGAATTGGAATTGCTGATGCCTGCCTTTTGGCTTGGCAATAGAAGCCACTGAAGTGGTCGTGAGTGCAGTTGCGCCCAAGGGACGATTGCCAAGCAAGAGATCATTTGGCCCAATAGTTGAGAGGGCAGGAGTAGAGGTGCTCTCCTGAGGGACCTCCGTGTTCTGGATGTTGCAACGTCGTTCCTGCGACAAAAAGACTAGACCTGACATGTGTCGATGCAGGGCCGGAGATGGACCAATTCTGAGGAGGGAGTTAGCTGACTCTTCTCCCAGTTCACAGTGAAGCCGTGCTATTGGAGGGCCATAATGGTTGCCTGGAGATCTTTCTGTGCCTGTTGGAATGAAGAAGATTGGATTAGAATGTCATCCAGGTAGCATTGTAATCTGACCGTTGACGCTTGTAAATGAGCTGCCACAACGTCCAGGAGTTTGGTGAATATGCGAGGGGCAGAAGAAAGACCAAAGGGCATGGCTCTATATTGAAAATGAGCCCCCTCATAGCAGAACCTGAGAAATCTCCTGTGGAATGGTCTGATGGGAACATGGAGATAGGCCTCCCAGAGATCTATTGATGATAACCTCTGTCCCTGATGCCGCCCAGAATAGTGTAAAGGCTGTGCATCTTAAAATGCCTATATCCTATATGGACATCCAGGCATTTCAGGTCCAGTATGGCTGTGCTGCCCCCTGACTTCTTCTGCACCAAGAAAAGAATTGAATAAAAGCCGGCACCATGATGTTCTGGAGGGACTGGTTTGATGGCCAGAAGGTGCTGAATTTTGGTTTCCATTAGAGCCCTCTTGGAAGGATCAGTGGCTGCAGAACAATTGATGAAACACCTTGGGGGATCAGAAATGAATTCCAAGGTGACTCCTAGGGAGACCATTTGGATGGCCCAGGCACCAGTGGTTGTAGTATGCCAGACGCTGGAAAAGTCGGCGAGACGACCGCCAATGGGCCCCTGAATAGTAGACTATTTTCTACGGTAGGGACGAAAGTTGAAGCCCCGAAAGGGCCTCCTGGCCTGAGGCTGACGAGTGCGGTCTCTGAAAGACTGTCTGTCTTGGGACCTGTCAGATGTCTGATGAAATAGTCGGTGAGGAGCTGGGTTTTGGAAACCTGGGTCAGAAGATTGAAAGGACTGCCTCTGATAAGGGAAGGCAGACCGTCTATCAGAGCATCTGGAAGAGAAAAGGAGGATCTTTCTCTTGTCCGTACCCTACCCTTGGACCCTATTAGGATAGGGTCCAAGGCCTCACCGAAGAGGGAACTACCCTTGAAGGGAACTACAGCCAGGCGCCATTTGGTTCTCATGTCCGCTTGCCAGTGGCACAGCCAGAGAAGACGCCGAGACGTGATATTAGATGCAAAGGCGCGCGAAGCAAATTTGGCTGAGTTAAGAGTCGCATCAGCAGCATATTCTGTAGCGGCGATCATCTTATTGATGTCCTGATGCAAACGAGCATCTTCAGGCAATGCTCTAGCCTGCATCTGGTGCAGCCAAATAAGGGACGTCCTGGAGAAGAAGGACGCAGCTGTGGCAGATTTGATAGCCCACGCAGTGGCCTGGTGAGTCTTACGGGTGGAAATTTCAGCCCGTCTATCCTCTGTATGGAGACCCTCAGCTGCATCGAATGGTAGAATGCTAGGAGAGGTAAGACTGGCCATGGGAACGTCCACCGCGGGAAGTTTGAAGAGGTCCTTGAGCTCCTGTTCCACTGTGTACAGCTTCTTATCCAGCCCACTGGGGTTAGAAATCGAACCTGGTTGGGCCCATTGGTGCTGGACAGTGTCAATGAAGAGTTTTGGTGATGGTATGACTTCTTGTTCAGTAACAGCTTCTGTACAAAGAAGACTGGTGAAGTCAGTGGGATCAGAAGAGGCTGCCGTGTGTGCCAAAGTGGCTCCCATATTGGCAATGGCTTTTGCCTTATGTAGTAAGGTCTTAAACAACTTATGTCGAAAAAGACCCGTGGAACGGAGTCTATCCGATGAAGTTTCCTCCTCCTCCCCAGAGAGGTTGTAATCGAAAGCATCTTCTACATCCATAAGAGATTGGTCACTGCAGTGAGAATGAGAAGGAGAGTGAGTGGCCACAGAGGAGTCGCTGTCCAAATGTGACGAGGCCCTGGAGAGTTGGCGTGTCTGTGTGGGAGCAGATGATGGAGCCAGAATACCTCTTTGGGTGAGGGCCGCATCAATGCCCTTAGCCACTGTCTGTGCAATGAGATCACATATTTCCTGGGGAATGGCAGACGGATGGCCTTCCTCTGGGTTGAGTCCTGCCACCGTAGGAGTGAAAGTGGCAGATGGCCTGGAGGCGCGAGCTTGCATAAGCGGATCCAAGACAGAATCAGTTCCCTGAGAGAAAACCTCCCTGATGACAGCCTGGGCCTCTTGTGTTTCAGTGGAAACATTTAGAGACCAAGAGGAGATCTCCTGCTGAATTTGAGGAGATATGTCATGCCCCAGGGCTAAGGTGGAGGGAGTAGCCACTTTGGGGGGGGGAGGAGTAGGAGGTATAATGGCTTCTGCCAGTTTTTTTGCTTTGTCAAATTGTTTGTTTAAGGCCAGATGCCTTTCTCCTGGCATCTTTCTCTGATGCAGTTGAAGAAGAAGGAGCCTTATATGATTTGGCCCTGGTAGAGTGCTTATCCTTAGATTTGCCTCTGTGCTGAGAGGGTGATTGGGATTTTCTAGAAGGGGAATGATTGCGATCAGCCATGTTGAAAGGGCTGGTGACAGTGAAACAATGCAGAGAATGTGATCATAAAATAATTGGTGGCAGGGATAATTTAAAGGCAATCCGGATGTAGTGTTAAACTAATTCCAGCTGAGTTAGCAAACGTTTAAAATCCTGGGAGGTGTAACCAAAATGGCATAGGGCTGACAGGACAGACCCGATGAATAAGCCTCAAACTAGTACTTCAAAATGGCGCTGGGCTGACAACACAGCCCACAGGCACTTCAAAATGGGGGCAGAACTGCGTGGAGCTGACAAAACAGCTCCTTAGAAGCCAAGGGGTCCCTAAGAGAGAGGCAGAGAGCCAACAACACAGCTCCTGAAGCACCCCAATTACCTGCCACAGAGTGAAGCAGGGCTGATAAAACAGCCCCTTGCGCTTTAAAATGAGTCCGACAAGGCAGGAGCCGACGAAATGGCTTCCAAGGCAATTTAAAACAGGCAGAGTGAAGGAGAGCTGAGCTTCGACAACACGGAGCTATCCTCGATCCCTGCAGCACGAATCCGACAACATAGCTTCCCTTGCGCTCCCCAGTCAACTCACAGTAAGTCAATCTATTTCTGTATTTGTATGTATGTATTTCTCTGAATGTTGATTCTTTATCATTCTTTATAAAGAATCATTCTTTATGTATAAAAAATGTAAAACACATATGTATAAAACACATACCGTATTTCCTCGAAAATAAGACCCTGTCTTATATTTTTTTGAATCCCGAAATAAGCGCTTGGCCTTATTTTGGGGGAGGTCTTATTATTTTGGGGTGCGGGGAGCAAAATAGGGCTCCTCTTGCCATCTTACCTGATTTCCAGCTCTGCGTTTAAATATTTTCGGGGAGAGCTGATATTCGGGGGAGGCTTATTTTAGCGCATGCACTCAAAAGCCCGATTGGGTTTATTATCAGGGGATGTCTTATTTTCGGGAAAACGGTGTATGTATTTTATTACTGTATTTTCTTTTATCTACTTTACCCTGGAATTAGATTCTGCATTTTATTTTTATTTATATTTTTGTCATAAGACTAATCAATTAATAAAGTATCTACCCTTGTCTTGTAATTAATAAACTAATAACTATCTATTCTTTTGTAATTAATCTCAAGTTATAAGTTTGATTATCAACAGCTTTTTCACTAAGAAACAACTTACAGACTTACTAAAAGCTCTTTTTGGCAATCAAAAAACAGTCAATACTTTGACAACTGGAATATTTTACCTTCAGGAAGAAGGTATATTTAGAGAAGACATCTAGAGAAAGCATCTTCCAAAAGTTCCACACAGTAGTCCTAGTGCTCACTTACTTGAAAAACTTAGTAACATCCCCCTTTCCAAATTTCTTCCATCAAAGCCCAACTGTGATTTCCTTCATGTCTCATTCTAAGCCACCATTATCAAAGCAATTTATGTTTGATTGCATCCTTGCTGGGCTGCCTGATAGCCTGAAACTTCAACTGCATGCACCTTCTGCTTGTGCACATACATCTCTTTCCTCTTCTGACCATGGCTTGCCTCACCTATCTGTACACACTCCTCCAAGGAATGCATGCACTAAAACGAAGGAGATGAATGCCTTTTTTGGCTCTTTCAATTTCATTCACACCACCTCCCCAGAATAATTAAATGAATGAACCTTGGTTTAAGTCCAAGAGAGATGTTTATTTTAGGGGGAGGGGAAATACTATATACATACTGGATAATGTATGTACCATTTACATACCATATACATTGCTACATACTTAGCAATGACTAAGACAGAGGACGGAGCTTCTATTTATTTATTGGTGAAACACTGAATCAGAGCCCCAGTCTCTTCATTGCAAGTAGCTGTTGCACAGGAAAACGGAGCAGAGAAATTTAGATTCAAAGATATGCTCTTGAATATTTCATCAGTCAGAATTCCCCCTCTGCTTTGCATTTGTTAAAACAAAGTTACTTGTCTTTCAAGACCTCTGGCTTGGCCTAGAGCAACATCTCTTTCTTTTAATTTTTAATTTTTAACATCTCGAAGGAGTGAAAGGTAAGACTAGGGTTACATTAGTTAGTGGCAGAGAACCAGGAAGAAATTATTGCTTTTTAAAATTTTGCCCTTGTTGATATACCCCAAATCTGGAAAAGATGAAAAAAAACCTCTAACAAACCTCATTGAGCCACTTACCTATTTGCCTGGTCCTGACCTCCCAGCAATGTGCTTTGTCCACAAGAGAGGGCTGCCTCAGCACGTTCATTGACTTCTGTTACCCCAAAGATGCTGTGGTTGGTGGACTCTTTCCTGCGCAGGAAATCACTGACTTTTGCACCAACAGTCATGCTGAGGTTTTTTAGATGTTGACTGCCCATTTTCCACTCTGGCTGCACTCGCAGATTTGTACCAGTGGAGGACCGGAAGGCAGATTTGACAATAGGCAACTTTGCTGTCAGGGTAGTGTTTGAATTCTCAAACATACTTTGGTCAACTAAAACAGAAAGAGAATGCCTCTGTGAATAGGAGAGATGCTAGGCAGAGATATTATCCAAGAAAACAATGGAAGCAGCAATGGAATTCAGGTTGGTACCTGTTGCAAAAAAGTGGAAAAATCTCTTTTTCTTGTTGATCTGCTATATTAAAATAAAAGCAACTTTAATATGTACAAACGAAAGTTGGACTTCATGCAAGGCCTGTGGTGCCAGTAACATTTTTTTCTTGCTCCTTCATTAGTTCCTAATTTATTTTCCTGCTATTTGGAAAATCCTACTTTAGTGAATATTTTAAAATATTTTTAATCCATCATAACGCTGGTCCAATTTATCCTAAGACAAAAGAGGAAAAACTCTGATTCTCTGAGTGAGAATCTGGTGGAGGCAAAGAGAGAATTGTATTATTTCATAGATCTGGTCCTCTGCAGCAACTAAATTCACTCATCTGTCGTTCTTTCATCTTGATTTAGGAATTTTCTGCCATGTAGAAATAACTAAGCAAATTACCATAAAAGTAGTAACAAACTAATTGATCATCATTAATGGTCATATTTTATTTACAATTAATACATCTTCAGGGATAGCTTTGAGGCAGTAAAGGAATTTGAGATTTGTCTGTCAAATGATCTGTAAAGAAATTGACTATATCTGAGGAAATAAAGAAAAAATGGTTGGTTTTTTTGCAATGGTTCACTGAAATACTATTTTTTGTACTAACTGGAAAAGCCCAAAACTGAAAATTCAAGATGGAAACACCTGTGTTTTGGTTCTTAAGAAATAGAAATTAGGAGAAGCAAAATTTTCCATTCATATTTCTGGCACCTTTACGATGGTTGCAGTGTCCCACAGTCACATGATTACCATTTGTGATCTTCACAACCAGCTTCCAATAAGCAAAGTCACTGGAGAAGCAAGCAAGAAGTTGCAAGTGGTGGTCTCATGACATTGCACTTAACAACTGCAGAAGATTCACTAATGATTGCAGCCAGGACTGCCATTTAAGTCAACGAACTGCGAGGTGAACATTGGTTAATATCTAGTAAAACCTATGTGATAATGGAAGATCCAGCAAAATGAGTAGCACCAGGCAACTACAGGCCAATTACCTGCTCACCAGCAACTTTCAATTGCTAACCGGAGTTGTAAGCGAAGATCACTGAAGTTAGTATACCATGAAGGCTTATAGGAAGTCCTCAATTCCCGATGGAACGAAGTCTACCCATTATGGTTGCAAGTTGAGATGGTCATTAAGAAAGGCACCCATTACTGTATTACTTCTATCTATATCGGAACGGACATTTGACTTTCTAAGCCAGTGATCGGGGAAGCGGCAGGAAGGAGAAGGCTGGAGACAAACGCAATAAATCAGCCGAGGATCGCCGAGGACTGCAGGCTCAGACGAGATTGCTGCTGGAGCGAGACAGTCTGAAGGCAAGCGTGGAGTTGCTTTTGGACTTATTAGATTTTTTTACCTGCTACTCGTCTATTTGAATCGTGAGCGGTGGAAGAGGAGTGTGGTGACTCAACTATATGATTCAAGCCTCCAGTGGAGCGATCGGGAGGGAAAAGGAAAGCGGAAGTTTAGAGACTGAACATTTCTAGTGGAGTTGTAATATATAAAAGACTTGGACACCATCTTGTGGCTGATACCAGAACTGCATTGTGACCTCTTTTTTTTTCTTTTTGAGACCCCTCCTCTTCCACCAAATTTTTTCTTTTTTCTAGCCTTAAGGACCGAAATTGAATAAGTTCCAGGATTTGTATTTTGATCTTTTTTTTTTGAGACCCTTCCCCTCCCAACCAATTTTTTCTTTTCCCTAGCACTAAAGATCGAAGCTGAATAAGTTCCAGGATTATAAGCTATAAATTATTTAAATTGGTTTTTTCATAAACTGCCTAATTAATATTGAATCAAAGCGTCTAGATCCATTAAGTGTTCTATCTGTTTATCCTGTTGAATCCTTATAATTGAGATATCTTTGAATTTATATTTGTGAATGTTTATTAACTGATAATTGACAAATAGAATTAAAATAGCCAGTTCAGAGTACTGCAAATAAGTAAAGTTAAGCAATATACAGGATAAAGAGAATAAGACTAGGGCAAAGATATACGCTGTATGCTAGAGTGGATTAACCTTTTCTGTCCAACAAAGATAGGCTACAACTACAATTACTACCAAGAAGAAGACATTTACAGTACCATCAATCTCATCCCCAGTTACGACCTCTCCAATGGCACACAAACTAGCGGAAGATATGACATCAATGGCATTAACAGGCAAAACCTCAAGCACAACTGGAATACCCTCAAACCTTCATGATATTCTCAAAACATTACAAGATACAATGATGACAATGGTAAAAAAACCAAGAAACAATGTCTAAAGGAATAGATGAATTGAAATCAGATGTAACAGCGGTGAGCGATGAATTACGGCAAATGAATGTTAAAATAGAAGAGATGAACGTGACAATGGTCTCACATGGGGAGAGAATTGTGGAAATGGAGGCTAAAGTGGGGAAAGTGGAGGAGAAGGTGATGCGACTGGAAACAAGACAATCTAGGGAAAATAGGAAGTTGGAGGACGAATTAATATTTATGGAGATGGATAGGGCAGCCTTCTTCATACGGTTTCAGAATATCCCGGAGAACAAAGATGAGGACTTGGATTAAATCATGATGGATATGGTGGCAGAGATTACAGGGAAGGATAGAGAAGAAGTATACCGATACATAGATGAAACTTTTCGAGTATATACTAGTTATGCTAGACGTCATAACCTACTAAAAGAAGTTCATGTACGCTGCACCAAGAAGACATTATGTGATGAGGTACTACAAAAGGCGAGAAACCAAAAAATAACCTATAAAGGATGAGAAATAATTATATTACGTCAACTACCAAAATGGGTAAGAGAAATAAGGAAAAATTATGAATTTCTCATGAAAAGGCTTCAGAAGATGGGGATTCGATATAGATGGCTATTACCGGATGCGCTAATTATAAGCTGGCAAGACAAGCGGATACGTATAGAAGACCTAAGAGACGTGCAGGAATTTTTTGACGTGCACTTTAAAGCTGATAAGCAAGAGAGCGAGGAAGAGATAGAAAGCGAAAGTCAAGAAGAGCAGCTGGAAATGGAAGTGATAAAGGAACAGAAGGCCTTAAGAGAACAAGGAGAAGATCAAATCAGTGGGGGCTCGGGATCCCAGATGGTGACGAGACAGAAAAAGAAACAGATTGAAAGAACTAAATAAATAAATTGGCAGGAGACGGACTTCGATTAATATCAATCAATATCAATGGATTAAACCTACCGAACAAAAGGAAGAAAATACAAATGAAGTTACAGCGGGGGAGATACCAAATAATAGGATTGCAGGAAGTACATATTAAGAAAGGTTACCAGAATTTGCTCCTATGTCCCAAATTAGATGATCTATTTGTGTTCTTGGCTGACCAAAAAAAAAGAGGAGTAGTGATATATATACAGAAACATTTGGAACCTAAAAATGATCCAGGATAGATATGATCTGGGTTACTCCAGAAATATTAAGATTGGCTGTAGAAGTAGAAATTGGACCAAACGAATGGGCGGATCACAATCCAGTGATAGTAAGTTGGAAAGAGAGAAAATATAGAGGAAAGTGGACAATGAGGACAGATTTGGCAAGGGAGGAAGAATTTGTTATGGGATTGAAAAAAGAATTAAAGCTTTTCTACGAGGAAAATAGACGAGAGGATACCTCACTGCAAAATGTATGGGATACTATGAAAGCGGCTATAAGAGGATATTCGATAAAAATTTTGGTGCATAAATGGAAATTAGAGAGAGAAAAAAGGGGCAAAATTCTAGAAGAATTAGAAAAGGAAGAGAGGGTATTACAAGTAGACCCGAGAAATGGGAAGATAAAAGAGAGAAAAGAGTTTCTTAAACATAAACTATCACTATTAAACCAAGAGGAATTGGCGAACAAACTTAAACGGGGGAGGCAACATTTTTTTGAACACGCTAATAAAGTAGGTAAATGGCTCTCATATAGGTTAAGAAAAGAAATAGAAGCAAAGAGAATGGATGCCTTACAAGATGGAGAGGGAACTCTTGTGGGGAATGTGGAAGGGAAAAAGAGGGTGATTATAAATTTCTTTGAGGAATTATATCAAAAAGAGGGAATACAGGAGACGCAAGTAAGGGCATACCTTGAAAACTTGAAATTAGCTAAAGTCCCACAAGATATGAAGGATATTCTTAATTCAGAGATTAGGGAAGGAGAAATTGAAACTGCTATTAAGAAGCAGAAATATGGTAAATCACCGGGACTGGACGGACTACCAGCCGAATTATATAAAGAGATATATGATATATTATTGCCAAACATGAAAGATTTATTTAATGAGGTATTAACTAAAGGTATAGTCCCCAGGTTATGGATGGAAGCTTATATTACGTTGCTTCCCAAACCTGATTCGGATCGAACACAGATTAAAAATTATAGACCTATCTCCCTGCTTAATTCAAACTACAAAATATTCACATCAATATTAGCGGAAAGGTTGAAGATTTTTTTAAACGAATACATCCCTCAAGATCAAAATGGCTTTTTGCCATATAGTTACGAGACAACATTAGAACCATCATGGATACATTGGAATATTATGAAACACATACAGACAAAGAAATGGCTCTAATGTTCCTTGACGCACAAAAGGCGTTTGATAGGGTTAATTGGGACTTAATTTTATTACAAATTGAGGAGATGGATTTCGGATTTAGCTTTACGCAAGCGATCCGGGCACTTTATATGGCGCAATATGCCAAAGTATTAATTGAAGGTGAAACAACAGAGGAGATACAAATACGTAGGGGAACTAGGCAGGGATGCCCGCTATCCCCGCTGTTTATTTTATTATTTTATTTTATTTTATTTTATTTTATTTTATTTTATTTTATTTTATTTTATTTTTTTTATTTTATTTTTTTTTTTTTATTTTATTTTTTTATTTATTTTATTTTATTTTATTTTATTTTATTTTATTTTTTTTTATTTATTTTATTTTTATTTTATTTTATTATTTTATTTTATTTTATTTTATTTTATTTTATTTTATTTATTTTATTTTATTTTATTTTATTTATTTTATTTTATTTTATTTTATTTATTTTATTTTATTTTATTTTATTTTATTTTATTTTATTTTATTTTATTTTTTTATTTTATTTTATTTTATTTTATTATTTTATTTTATTTTATTTTATTTTATTTTATTTTATTTTATTTCCAATTTATATACCACCCTTCTCCCTGAGGACTCAGGGCGGTGTACAGCCAGAATTATGGAACATGAAATACAAATATTAAAAAAACAGTTAAAATATATATAAATTTGGCCCAAAAATTAAAAATCACAAACCAATTAAAACATTTAAAAATTTCTTCTTAAGCCAGCCCAGCTTGCTGGAAAAAGTGGTTTTAAGGGCACAGCGGAAGGCACTGAAGTCTCTTATTTATTTTGACTCTGGAACCTTTACTAAATCAAATCAGACAAAACAAAGAAATAAAAGGACTTAATGTCAGGAAGGAGGAGTTTAAAATACAAGCGTTTGCAGACGATCTCGTTTTTATATTGGAGGAGCCAATAACTTCGGGGCCAAATTTGTTGAGAAGTATTGAGGAATTCGGCGTAGTAGTGGGTCTACAAATTAACAGGGACAAAACCAAATTACTTGTTAAAAATCTTAAGGGGACATGGAAATTGGAGATAGAGAATGCTATCTAAAGATAGCAGAGATAGATAGCTAGAGATAGCTAAAAAGGTAAAATATTTGGGCATATGGTTGACCCCAAAATGCTCCTCGATAAAAAAGAACAACTATGATAAACTCATCATGCAAATGGAACAGGATTTGGATCAGTGGAGGAAAGTACAGCTATCCCTGCTAGGAAGGTGGCAGTGATAAAGGCACACGTGCTACCAAAATGGATATATCTTTTCCAAATGGCTCTGGCAAGATTAGAGAAAAGCTTTTTTAGAAAAATGGATCAGATAATTGGAAAATTCATATGGCAAGGGAAAAAGCCACGTATTAAAAGGAAAATGATGCAGGAGCATAAAACAAGGGGAGGCTTGGGGCTCCCCAACTGGGAGTGGTATTATCAAGCCTCTTGCCTGGTTGGGTAAAAGATTGGATAATATTGAAGAGGAAGCGTATATTAAAAATTGAAGGGTATAATTTACAGCAGGGGTGGCATTATTTTCTTTGGCCAACCAAAGCAGGACAGCATACTTTACGAATCACTATGTAAGGGGATGCCTGATTAAGGTATGGAATAAGATCAAAGGAATGATGTATAGTAAGGTTCCATATTGGTTTGTGACTCTTGAAGCGACTACCTATCCACCTCTATACAACTTGAATAAACTTGTGATGTACAAGGAATTGTTGGATGGTGGGGGTAACCTTAGATCTAAAGCGGACCTACAAATACGGGGAATCAACTTGGACTGGTGGGCATACGCACAAATCCAAGAAAGATATCAAAAAGATAAAGCCAATGGGGGGATTTTTACTTCACCACAAGAGTGATAAAAAATATGTCACCAAGGTATATAACCTCCCGATCAGTAGCTGATGAAATAGTTAAAGACTCGATGATAGCCTAGAGGAGGAACTTCGGATATTCATTAGATTTGGAAAAATGACAACAAATATGGAACAGAAATGCAAAAATGACAATGGCAGTGTCCTTCAAAGAAAATATATTTAAAATGTTATATAGATGGCATATACCACCAGCAAGAATTGCAAAGATGTTCCCTGGAACTTCAGCAGAATGTTGGAAATGTGGGTCAGCCAGGGGTACATTTTACCACCAATGGTGGACATGTCTACAAGCCCAAAACTATTGGAGCAAGATAAAAGATTGGCTCATGGAGATTACAGGAGTCAGCTTTCAATTTAGACCAGAAGTCTACTTATTAGGAATAAACCCTGGGGGCATAAGGAAAATAGACTGGTACTTTTCATACATATTACCACTACGGTTAGAATTGCATATGCGCAACTTTGGAAAGGGAAAGAAGTACCATCGGATCAGATGATTATTAACAAAGTTTTGTGGTGTGCAGAATGTGATAGATTAACATATATTCTTAAAGATAGACAAGAATCAACTTTCAATCAAAGCTGGAATAAATGGTACCAATGGATAGAAGTAAAAATGTTATGAGATAGATGTTAGGAAAGCATGTGGCATAGATATGTAAATAGCAAACTAAATATAAATAAGGTAATATTAGATATAAGAAGATATAAGAAGATTAACAAGTGCAAGATGCAATATGATAAAACCTAATCGAATCTGTAGTATGATGATATGTAATATTATTCAGAAACTGTATATATATGGGGGTTGAATCAACCTCAGTTGTATATATGTGATTTTGTCTTGTTATAGTCTTTTTTCTGTTTTTTGTTTCTAATTTATAATAAAAATTATTAAAAAAAAAAAAGAAAGAAAGGCACCCACATAATTACTTTGCTTAACCATCTCAATCACAACTCTCCTGTTGCAGTTAAGTGGAGCCTGCAGTGTCTCAGGGATGGGGGTAGGCCCAGACCTGCATTGCAGCACCTCCCCAGCTCGCATGTGGTCTGTCCCGGGTCTCCCACACCCTCTGAGGCAACCTGTGCTCCATTTCCTACCCTTCTTGGGCCTACTTCCCATCCCACCGGGTCCCATCCCCTTCTCCTACTCCTGTCATGGCTCAGGTTGCTTACCTTTTCCATAGATCTCTTTTGGGAAGCAATCACTCCACCACGGGACCTTCCTACACTTCAAACTACATGGCAGATTAGACTGAGTTTTTAGAGTCCACGCTAAACATGCTTATATTCTCCAATTTCTTCACTTGACGCTTGTCAGGCAGGCAAAAAAACCAAAGCTGATTTCTTCATTGTTCCACTCCTATAGACAGCATTTTGCCAAAATGAAGCATTTTATCTGCATCTACTATATTCTCTGAGAACTATTAGGGAGGGGCTGTCTTCACTCGTTCTCTCACACAAAATATCTGGTCTGAGCTGCTGCTTATTCCTCTGGAATACATCCTCTCCCTCCTGGGAATCCAGCCTACTACTGGATTCTATTGCCTCTCTTATTCAACACATTTCTTCTTGTAAAATTAAGTTAGGACAATAGGTCTCCTTGTTTATTTGTTGTGTGTGTGTGTGTGTGTGTGTGTGTGCCTAAAGTGGAGAATTTTTATTATTTCTTTTACATTCTAAATGATAAAGTTCCAATGACAATCTGAAACATTATTTGATGATCTATTTTTGTAGAATTAAAGTTTCAGCAGATCTCAGAATATTTGAAATTACTTATTATTAAAGCTCACTTATCTGAAAGGATAACCATCTTTATTAGGAAAGAACCATCCATGTTTTCCAGTTGTCTGAGTAATCTGTAAAATGCTGCATAGAAAGGTGTCTGTGTAATCCCCCAAAGACCAATTTTGCTTCTCTCTCTTTCTATCTCTACCCAGATGCAATCAAACAGGTTGTTCTCAAAATCTTGAATTTCTACACATAGAGTTTACTAACATTTCTCTAAGCCTGATCCTATTGTTTTTATTTTCAATTTTCTTCAATCTTGCTTTTATGAAAGCATTATTCATGTTATCCTCAGATACAAAGTTGGCTGATGCCTTGTTGATCACTGGAATAGCTCCCTCTAGATTTATCTACTACCATAGAATCATGGAATCATATGGCTAGAAGGGATCTTGGAGGACTTCTAGTTTAACTCCCTGTCCAAAGCAGAAGACTTTATTGCATCCTGGAAAAATGGCTGTCAAATCTTTTCTTGAAAATCTCCAATGATGGAGCATTCACAACTCTGGGAGGTAAGCTGTTCCATTGACTAATAGTCCTTATTGTCAGGAAGTTTCTCCTATGTTCCAGGTTGGGTTTCTCTTTAACAATCTTCCACCCAACAAGCCTTTTTTCCTGCCCTCAGGGGCTTTGAAGAATAAGTCAACCCCTCATCTCTGTAACTGTTTAAGTACTCGAACATAGTTATCATATCACTCCTAATTCAGCTCTGTCAGGCTAGACATACTAGTTGCTCTCCAGCAACATTGCAGAGAACTGCCCACTTGGATTATTTGCTGTATTTCCAAAAACAAAAGCTGAACTGATGGCCTGATTACCAAAAAGTCACCTTGAGATAAAACATATGCCCCTTTTCCTGTGAAAGCTGATTCAGATCATTGGTAGTTTGCAACGCAGGTCCTACTAGTAGATAGGTTTGGAGGAATACCCAAACTGGAAAGAATGAACAAAATTGCAAACTGAGAAATGGGCTGAGAGTATATTTCAAGAACCTAAACAAAAGGGAATATTGTCTCTGTTCTCAGACCAGAGACAGTATTCCCACAAATACTTCTCTGGGTCAATAAACGGTTGCATTTATACAGAATAGTATCCTTGTTTTATTTTGTTTTGTAACTTAGAATGTTTCATTAGCTTAGCCTATATAGTTAGTTTATGGCGTAATATAGTGTGTGAATATAGCCAGTGCTTGAAAATAAGAAAATCTGAAAGAGAGAAAAAGACTATGTCAGTAGAATAATTAAGACTATATATTTAATTTTCCCTTTTAAAAGGTCATAATGTCTATGTAGTCACGAATATGAGGACCAAATTTATGAATCCCTCAACAGATCCAGTTAAAACTCCCTCATTTTTCTTCTATGCACTCATTCATTTTCAGGAAACATCCCACAAGCTCTGATCCTCCTCCCACAGCCCAGCAGACTGAGTCAGAAGCCAAAATTCTAATTTCAGCAGATAAATGTTGCATTCAACAACTGGAAGAAACTGTATAGCACATTTTCCAGCATATAGCACAGGAAACAAGAGATGGATGTCTGAAGGGAAGCAAAGGTGCATTTGTTACATTGTTTAGGCTAGTAACTTCTTTGATTTCTTCTCCATTTTGCACAAATTTTGAAAGGAATTACTACATAAGAGATGTGAGAGGAAAACAGTTAAATAACACATTACATTTCTTGCTGCTTTTTAAGAGTGGAAATGCAAAACCTAGTGACCTTATGTACCACATTAGTGCTGCCTGGCATTTTAAAAAGTTTAATAATTCATAGTTTCAATTAAGATTAAACACCCTATACTGGTGATGGCGAACCTATGGCACGTGTGCCCGAAGTGACACATGGAGCCATGTCGCCTGGCATACCAGCCGTCACCACAGCCCAGCTCTACCGCACATGCACACGTGCCTCCCTTCAGGTCTCTGCTGTGCATGCATGGGAGGGCGGGGTGCATGCACAGGGGATGCTCACATTGCATTTTGGAGGTTTGTATGTGTGCCTGGCCCCCTCTGCACCCCATTTTGGGCCTGGAAGGCCTCCTGCACCAACCTGGAAGCCAAAACGGGGCATGGGAGTACTGTGCGAGGCCCCTCTGCACCCTGTTTTGGGCCTGGAAAGCCTCCTGCACCAACCTGGAAGCTAAAACAGAAAGCCAGGATGCATGTGCGGGGGAGCACTCGCATTGCATTTTGGGGGGCTGGGCACACGTGCGTGCATTCACATGTGCATGCACGTGCTTTAGGCACTCGACACCAAAAAGGTTAACCAACACTGCCCTATACAATGTACCCAACTTTACTGCCAGTTATACATTTTGGATCTTTGCAAAATTTTAAAAGACCCATGTTAAGTGGCAAACTTATTGGTGGCGAACATATTTTGCAGGAAAATAGAAACTAAAAAAGTGCAGACAGTGTATGTTTAATGATGCGTTTGAAAAAGATCTTATACTTCTACTTCAGGACTTGGTCCAATTAAAACATTTAAAAATCATGAGTATACTTGTCCACTCCTTTACAGGTTTGCTGTAGGAAGCACCAATTCAAAATAACTATGCTCATTTTGGAGCATTCTGTATTCTGTTCAGCTTTCCTATTACTGAGAGTTGATCCTGTAAATTTTTTTGAAATAGTTATGGAAGGCGGCTTCTGTACTAACATACGCTTAGATTTTTCAGCATTTAAACCTGCAGTAAAAGTAATTCCATGCATGATCAAAGATGATTGTTTAAATACATTGTTAAGATGAGGGGTTATGAATAACCTCAGTATTTGAATATATTAACATTGTCTACATTTTCATATATCTTCAGATTCTAAACTGCAAACATTTAGTAAGAATTTTATAATATTCCTATTCCGAAATGATTGCCTGAAGATATAAAGCATAACCTGTGTTCATTGAAAAGTAGCATATAGTAACAGCTCTTAAAACATTTTTTTTGTATTTCTGCTTGATCCTTATTTCTCATCCTTTTAATAGCACTTTGCATGTTTAACTTCTTTCTAGGAACCATGAAAGGACAACTTGCTTTGAAAACATGAGAGTTCACTGCAATTTATGACAAATATATCAATGATGCAAGTGAATTTTCAGAGTAATTTTCTTCCTGTGCTATTTCTTTTTTACACTGCAAGAAAAAAACCTCAAGATTTAAACATTTGAAAAAAATGGAGTAAATGATTAATTAAAAATGATTTCTTAGAAAAAGTAAAAGAAAGCATCATTCTCTTTTCCTGCATGTTTAATTGATATCTTTTATGAGCAGAAAAGCATTTAGTTCCTGATTTACTGTGTGCCTAAGCACAGAAACCTCTGTCTTCCATTATAGAAGAATAACTGCTATTAACCACCAAGAGCTTTAGAAGCTCCCTAAATTCATTCTGAAGAGATCTTGAGTCACTTCATTGTAGAGTCTCATTTCTAAGAATCACTTCAAAAGTGCTGGCCACCATCATTTCTCTTACATTTCCCCATTAAGGAAGAGGTAGAAACTGAATACTTCCGGTCATGGGAAGTCAACAGGCTCCAAATGATGTCACTAAATATCAGTTCCTGTTAAAATATTGGTGTATTTTGTATGTTAACATTCAATTAGTCCAGCCTATTATTCTGGTTGCTTATACATTCTCTGCTGCTCTACGTCTGTATCCTGCTGAATGTGCTTTCTCACAAAGAAATATTTATTCTTCTCTATGATAGTGACATTCATTAAATGGTTTTCATAGGAGGAATGTATCAGCATTTCAGAACAAATCAGTTCCCACCGCAAATTTGGTCATAGATGTCTGCATTTGAGACTAACTTAGGATGTTACAGTTTAGTGCCATGATGGCGAACCTATGGCACATGTGCCGAAAATGGCACACAGAGCCATGTTGCCTGGCACACGTGGTGTCGCTCATTCCTCTTCCAGGTTTCCGGGGCACGCATGCACACCAGCCAGCTAGTCTGCTGGTTACTGGTGCGCATGGGCCCACGATGATCAGCTGGCCTTCACATGTGCGGAAGTGGCTAGCTGAAAGCGCGCTCTTAGCGTAGGTGCGCACCAGCCATGCCGTTGTCACCTGCATGCAGCTCTGGGACATCCATCCCTTGCCAGCCAGGAGCACTGCTGCCAGTCGCTCCCCTGTGCCCGCACGCCTGCTTGCCTCGTCACCACACTGCCGCTGTGAGGAAAGGCCCTGAACCTGCACTGCCTGGGATCCACGTGGGCTGTCACAGGGGGAGACCAGATATGGTCTGGAGTGCGAGGCTGGCAGGAGGAGGAGCCTCCGCTGCCTCTTAGCCAGCGCGAATGGCCTGACACCGCTGCCCTCTCTGCCCTGCCGGCTACTCCTGCCACTGCCAGGGAAGTGGCAATGCGAGAACCGCCACCCCCAGGGGCAAAGGGGTGCGGTGGCAAGCCGGGGCTTTCCTGTCTCTCCGCACGAGCAGGCTTCTAGTGCGGCCCCAGGCTGGGGGTGGGGAAATTGAAGTCCTGGCACGCCTATCCTTTCTGCTGCCACCCCATTGCCCCCGCAGCCAGCGCTTCTCACGCTAACGCTTCCCTCTCAGTGGCAGGAGCAGCCGGCGGCAGGCTTCAATCTCTCCCCCGGAGGCCTGAAATGCAATGCACTTTTTTGGCCTCCGCACACCCCATTTTTGGATTCAGAGAGGAAAGAATTTTCGGGCGGCAGTGCTGCGATCCTCTCCCTGAATCAAAAAAGTGCATTGCATTTCAGGTGGCGGAACTGGCCAGGAGAAAAGAGAAGGTGAGTCTGCTAATGACAACATTAGCCATTGATTCCTATGCAGCTTTTCTCTACAGAAGATGCCTTAGCTGCAGCTTTTTAGGAACCTTGAACAAATCACCCATCTCTTTTTGTGATTCAATTCACAAAATGTAAAAAAGCAGATTTGCAAAGAACAGAGAAAGTAAAGGAAGCAAAGAAAGCAGAAACAACAGTTTTGCTTTAGAAATAAGGAAGATTTATTTAGCAAAAGCCAAAAGCCAACATCACAACCCTGGGTTTAAGTGCACTTACAAAGAAAATAATTCCATAATAACCACTGATCTAGCAAAAGAACACAAGAGATATAGAAATACCAGGGGGCTTTCTGGAGAAAATACATGCAGTATAAAAATACACTAATATTAGGCAACCAGATAGACAACCTGAGTCACTCCTAGGGATTCAGTTCTGGATTTCCAAGTGGGTGGGTGGAAGCCTGCTAGAGATGGATTCTGCTAAGTAGAGCTGATGGTGTTCTTTTTACATTGTATGTTCATCTAATGTATCTGTGAGTACCACTGCTGAGGATGCTATTGCTACTGCTGCATCGATTGCTCTAGCTTTTGCTACTTGCAGCTTCATCTTCTTAGTGTCCCATCTCCATCTCCACATCCTCATACTTGCTTTCTTGCCAGTTGGATCTATATATACCCTTTCCATTTCTCAACATTTATTTCCTGTTCATGACCATCACTTCCTTGCATTACCTATGTCCTTAGCACAGCCCTGAGATTAATTTTTCACAATAGGACCTGGCCTGAGGGGTAGCCCACAGGAGCTGGGAATAGCCCTTCCTCCTCTCCCATTACTTTTATCATGGTTGTCAGACACCAGAGGCCACAATGCTCTCTTTCTATCTTTCAACTAGGTTTGCAGGATAAAAGATAATAGTGAGGAAATAAGTCACCCACCTAATTCATTCAGAAGCCACTTTCTCCCTGAGTTGCATTCCTGAAAATCCAGCTGATGAATTAAGAATGTGCTTTGATTTATGGCTTATCTGTTCCTGTTTTAGCAATGCAGGAATGGGCTATGTTCTCTCTACTTCCCATTCATGTGATGTCACAATAAAGCTGATCTGATTTGATATATTTGACATATAGTGATTTAAATGTTTTTCGGAGACTGGGGTACATTTTGGGCTTCACGGGGAACTAATTTAGAAAAACAAAGAAGCTTTCCTGAAGTTACACACCAAGCAAGAAAAGGAGAGTCAGGAAAGGAACATGTGGGCATTCTGCTTGTTCCTGGGCCATTACCCTAGGTTTTCACCTGAATGGCCTGGATCTCTGAAAGTAGACCTTCAGAGGAAAGCAAGGTGAGTTTAGGGAGGAAGGAGAACACCCACCACCACACCCACTGCAATATAACAGAAAAGCTTTATTTTCACCTCAGTTTTCTTCACAAATACCCATTTCAGGTTAGGAAGGACAATGTCCATTGCCATGGCTGCAAGCCTTTACAGCCAGGAATGCTTCCATTCTTGTCCCTCAGTCAGCTACTACACTTTGCAAATTTCCTACAATTTCCTTAGAATGTAGGGCTGCTCCAGGAGATATTCAGGAAACTATGTTGCAAGTGACCTCCTCCATAATTCTCTTTAAGAGTTCTCAATAATTTCAACTCACCAAAAATATAAATAATATTATAATTAGTTTAATGGAAAAACACAACAGGCATCTGCTGAATGATTGAGGCTACCTGAGGTGCATTTGGTCACATACTATAACCAGCATCTGCTAATTTTGGGAACATACAAAATGTCCAGATATGTATTATTTCTGACCTCCCATTGCTCCTAATCCTACTCCAATTAGAAAGTTTGGAGGTAATAATTCCTCACGTTTAGAAGATGTTTTGTGAATGAAATGACACAGTTGACAAATGAAAATAGGAAAGCAAAGCAGAATTTGTTTGACAATTTTTGAAAAAGAAAAATGAAAAGAAAAGATACTTGGCTCTCTGTCATGGACCCTCATTGAACCCCAGTTTCAGTCTGAAGTACTGCCAATAGTAAAATTAGGAATGAAGAAAGGGCCACCACTGCCACTGACCACCAATCATAATTATATACAGGAGCATAATTTGGAATATTTCCCACTATTCAGTACAAATTAAATTTCCACTTTCTTTGCACAGAGACAGTTTAGAACTTAGAACATAGAATAATAGGGTTGGAAGACACCTTGGAGTTCTTCTAGTCCAACTCTTCTCAAGCAGGAGATGCTATATCTATCTGAACAAATGACTGTTCAATCACTTCTTAAAAACCTCCAGTGATGGAGCACTCACAACTTCCAGAGGCAAGCCTTTACACTGATTAACTGTTCTCATTGTCAGGAAATTCCTCCTTAGTTTTAAATTGGATCTCTCTTTAATGATCTTGAAAGGGTCAATCTATTCTCCAAAGCAAAGCAATGGATGGAAACTAATCAAAGAGAGAAGCAACCTAGAACTATGGAGAAATTTCCTGAGAGTTAGAACAATTAATCAGTGGAACAACTTGCCTCCAGAAGTTGTAAATCCTCCAACACTGGAAGTTTTTAAGAAGAGATTGGACAACCATTTGTCTGAAATGCTATAGGGTTTCCTGTTCTAAGCAGGGAGTTGGACTTGAAGACCTCCAAGGTCCCTTCCAACTATTCTATTCTATTCTATTCTATTCTATTCTATTCTATTCTATTCTATTCTATTCTATTCTATTCTATTCCATTCTCATATGTTTTAACCCAGGGGTGAAATGCTCCCGGTTCGGACCGGCTCAGGCGAGTAGGTAGCAATGGTGGCGGGCAGTTCGAAGAACCGGTAGCAAAAATCCCTGCCCCCCCCCCATGCCCAGCTGAGCCGCGTGATCATCAGAGCCTTTTTTTCCTTTTAAATGGCTCTGAGAGCCCAGCTCTGACGATCCCAGCTGAGTTGCCTGCTAATCAGGCAACTCAGCTTGGATCGCCAGAGCCATGTAAAAGAAAAAAACTTTTTTCCTTTTAAATGGCTCTGACCAGCCAAGCTCTGACGATCCCAGCTGTTGCCTGCTAATCGGTAGCAAAAATCCCTCCCCCTCCCCCCCTCAGCTTGCTTACCTTAGCTGATGGTCGCAACGCCTTGCATTCATTGCATCAGCAAACAACTGAATCTCCCTGCCTTCAATCTAGCAGGCAGAGAGTTGTGGACTTCAACTCCCAGCAAAGCTGGCTGAGGAATTCTGGGAGTTGAAGTCTACAAGTCTTAAAGTTGCCAAGATTGGAGACCCCTGTTCTATTGGGTAAGTTTTTTCCCCCTTTGGGAGCTTTAAAAAAAATAGTTAATTGGGGTTTTTTTTAGTTGTTCTTTTTTTTAGACCTAGCCATTTAAAGTTTAGGAAGTTTTAAATTTAGCTGCTTTTATATAAAAATAAAAATAAAAGAAAATAATATTTGTGCATCTTTCTGAGATTTTGTGTGTTTCTGTAGTGTTTCACTCTAACTACACAAACACACAAAATCTCACAAAGCTGTATGTGGAGTTTTGTGCGTGTAAAGTGTGAAAGTTGGTTTTTTGGACTTTTTGTGGCTGTGTGAGGTTCCTGCTTGTTGCAGGGGCCATTTTGGGTCTAGCACAACTGCTTTTACATTGTGGGTGAGCCAGTTGTGTTGTGTTGTGTTGTGTTGTGTGTGTGTGTGTAAAGTGTGAAAGATGTTTTTTGTAGCTTTTTGTGGCTTGTGTGAGGTTCCTGCTTGTTGCAGGGGCCATTTTGGGTCTAGCACAGCTGCTTTTATATTGTGGGTGAGCCTGTTGTGTTGTGTTGTGTTTTGTAGGTTAAAAAAGGGCAAAGAAGTGACATTGACTTGGCCACGCCCACCTGACCAACAAGCCACGCCCTCCCAGTCACTTTACCACCAAGCCACGCCCACTAATTAAGCCACGCCCACAGAACCGGTAGCAAAAAAAATTAGATTTCACCCCTGTTTTAACCTCCAAATCCCTAATCATCTTTGTTGCTCTTCTCTGCACTCTTTTTAGGGTCTCAACATCATTTTTGCATTACGCTGAACAGAACTAGAGGCAGTATTCCAAGTGTGGTCTTACCAGTGCTGTATAAAGTGGTACTAACAGTTTATGTGTTGAAACTATCCCTCTGTTGATGGAACCTAGGATTGCATTAGCTTTTTTTAGCAGTTGTAGCATACAGTTGGCTCAAATTTAAATGGTGGTCTACTAGGACACCTAGATCATTCTTACGGTTACTACTGTTGAGCCAGGTACAATCTATTTTATCCTTTGCATTTGATTTTTTCTTGCCTATGTGTATTCTTACTTTTTCTCACCACTGAATTGCATTTTGTTGGGCAGGTCTTAGCTTTCAAGTATGTCAAGTATGAATTTTGAGTCTATCTTCTTAAAGTGTTAGCTATTTCTCACAGCTTGATGTCACTTGCAAATTCTATGAGTTCTCCTTCTAAATCATTTATGAAGTTGTTGAAGAACACTAGGCCTAGGGCAGCATCTTGAGGTTCCCCACTACATGCTTCCCTCCATTTAGATGTAGTTCCAATGAGGACTAGACATTGAGTGCAAATATGTATCCCGTTGGTGGTGATGCAGTCTATCCCAGATTGTTCTAGCTTACTAAGAAGTAGTCTGTGGTCTACTTTATCAAATGCCTTACTGAATTCCAAGTAAACTATCTGTTTGTGACAGATAGTTTGTTGACTTCTAGTAATAGCTTATTTTTTTTTCTAGATGCTTACAAATGCAGTGCTTGATTATCTTTTCCAGAATTTTCCCAGCTATTTATGTCAGCCTCATTAGTCTGTAGTTTATTGGATCCACCTTTTTTCCTCTTTTTGTAGATTGGGACCACATCAGCTCTTTTCCTGTCATCTGGTATTGCCTAACTCTTCTGCAGCTTTACCTAACTACTGTATTCCTTAAAGTTACCACAGTCAAAACTAAAAATCTGGTGATCCATTTTGCAGAAAGTATTTCTGAACAAAAGCAAGTTCTATAGTGTCCCAAAAGTGCTTTTATCAGCAGGCAACTGGACTTTGTTTTTTCTTTGAAGACATTTCGCTTCTCATCCAAGAAGCTTCTTCAGCTCTGGACATCATAGACATCAAGCTCTACAGTCTTAATTCCCAAGCAGCAATCATAATATCAAGCAGACAATATTTTAACTGCTAATGATTAAGAAGTTAATTTGGGTACATTTCAAAGGACAGATCCAGGTAAATTTATCACACTGTCATAACATAAAGCAAGCACTAAACAACATTATTTATCATTTGAATTAAAATACAAGCTAGAAAGTAACTTCACATGCCAATTTAACCCTTTTCCACATCCACTGCAGACACAGTGTATTTGGGCTATATGCAAATGGCATATCAGCCACACAATTATGAGAGCAGAATCTTTACTAGATAATCAGTGGCCATTTATATGGGGCAGAATCTATCATGTGGAGAAGACATAGGTGATTGGCTGTGCTAAACCTCATTGCATCAAAGATACAGCTGGCAACCAAATGAAAGACAGTAGATATGTTTACACATGTTAAACTGGAGCCAAATAAACTACTCCATGAGATGGTTTACTAAGGTGTAAGGCTAGCCACAAAGTCTGCATTTGTTTGGGATAGACGATGGAGAAACTGATTTGACAAGGACTTTCTACTCCAAAGACAAAATACTACAGCTATTATTTTGGAATTGGGGGAGCCTTTTCTAAAACACATTCATGAATGATCAGGTTCAAATTCCAAAAGGGCATGGATGTCAGGTTAAACAATTTATCCACATGTAATTTGATCAAAGCTGAACCACTTTCTTCAAATTTTATACACATAAGGCAGTTACTGGTCCTGTCTGAAGATTAAATAGGGAGACTTAAATAGGGAAGGCAGAAAGTTGAAAAGTTTTGGCTAAGAACAGGACTCTACATATTCTATCCACAAAAGGCAGCACAATACAAACAAGGCAATTATGTACCAAAGTCAAACACATTGTATGCAACATGTTTTCTTTCCTAATGGCATTTTGAAAACCAGGCAAATGAAATACATTACTTGACTTGCATAATTTATTCTATTTCCCACATTTATAGGGAGAGGCAAAGGGAAATATTGTACACTGAAGACATGCCTCCAGTAACTTCTTCACTCCTATTGCTTTGAGTTTTTATCCATGCACTTTTAATACTATCCTTTCACTCTCAAAATTGCTTTTCTAAAAGAAAGCTATTGTTTTGAGATTCCAATGCTCTAAAGTGATGGAAGATCAGAGATGTGGGACATCTGAGGTAATACTTGTTCTGTCAGTAGAAAAAGAGTAGTTTTTCAAGTGGCCTAACAGTATGGACCAGGAACTATAACTCCTCCAAAAATTCACTCTTTCACAGGAAGAATCCATACTCAGAAGAGAGAACAAAAACAGACATGCTTGCTGAGACCTTTTAAAAGGAAATGTAAACATCATTTTAGATATCATCTGACCTAAGACACTTCATTTTCCTTTCAAAGGGCAACCTCATTTTCCAGGCTATCTCCCAGCGCCTGTTTGTCCAGGACATTGAGCAGGCGACGTGGCTCCTCTTGGGCCCATGAGTCCCACTCCTCGCTCTCAGACATGTTGGATTCATACTCAGAGGCAATGCCAGACTCATGAAATTTGATGAGCTCCAGGCTGCCCAAAGGAGGGTCCGTATTAGGAAGGAAATGGAAGCATTCCAGCTTCACCAAACAGTCACTCCTACCTAAAGGGCTGCCCAGAGAACTGGAAACATTGGAGAAGCTGTGGTCAGGCTGAAGAAGGTGGGTGTCCTCAGGCATAGGGGTAGTGGGATCACACAGAACAGGCAGGGCACCTGATGGGTAGGTGATTTCCAACAAGCTATCTTGAGCGTCCACTGCAAGACAAGAAGAAAGAACAGTGCATCAGAGCAATTATCTTTGCTATGTTTATGTCAGAGAAGATGGCTACCCTAACCATCCAAAAGAACAATTACCTGTTGCAATTATTTCTGCTGCTCTTGAAGACTACTGAGAATATATAGTTGGTCCAGGGTATGACTGCAAAAACAGTTTGGGGTGCATCAGAGTATGCTCATAACACATCTCAATTCTGTCAGCTGCACTGATTATTCATAAGCACACTAGTAATCAGTGTAGCTCACAGAACGGAGGTATGTTACAAGCATACTTGTCATGGTTGACTCGCTACACAGCCCCACTCGCAACCAGACAACAGTAACAGGAAGGGGGAGGGAATATATTGGAATGTAAGGGAGGCTTGGGAGGGAAGTGTGGAAAGCAAATGTGCTAATTGGAAGCCTGAGAAGGACCCAGCACCCAAAGCAGGGGTGAAATGCTACCGGTTTGCTCCGGTTTGGGCAAACCAGTCGTGAAAAAAAAAGCTACTGGTAGTTAAAAAAACGCATAGCATGCATTTGGTGCACTCAGATTTCACCCCTGACCCAACTGAGAACGTCTGAGGCAGACAAACCATTCCCAAAACAAAGAGAGTGCAAATGATTGGGGTACAATGGGAGGTCCAGAGGAAAAAGGAAAGGTTTTCCTATGCACAAAATAGTTAGAACTGGCTTTTTTACTTCTGTACCCATATGGAATATTTAGTAAAGTTATACTCTTGGTAAAAAAAAGTCCCAGGAATTTCTTTTGCTATCTAACCCAGTTGTCATCTATAAAATCTCACATGGATTTGGGCCCTGTATTTATAGGACAATCTTTCTGCATTTGTCTCTGTTCACCCCATAGGATCAGACATTGTGGACATGCTCAATGCCCCAGGAATGATGTTCCTGGACCAGCTTATTATTGTCTCCTTTACTGTCTCTTCCTCCATTTTATATCTTAAAAGAAAATTGTATATTTTGGTAATCATTTCCCCTCCCTTTCCTTGCAATATTTTGTCCAATTCCAATTGTTTCTCTTATATGCCATATAGTTCACAATCTTTTTTGAATCTTGTTTTAATTTGTAAATAAGGCCACCATTCCATAGCAATTCCTTATTTTTTCAAGTCCTGGGCCGATTTTAATTCTCCTTTTGTTATCCAAAAGTTCTGCATAACTCACCATTTTATTGAGATCTGTAATCTTTGGATAGATCATTGCCTCCATCGTTGATAACCAAATTGGGATCTTCGTATAATGATTTTTTAAAAAAAATTCTCAGGTACCTAGCAGGGAATCTCTTATTAGATGCCTCTGGAAATATGAATGGGATTTATTTTTCCCCTCCCAGAGGAAAGCATGCCAGCCAAGTTGAAGATCGTGGCCTTCTATCGTTAGTATCCTTTTATTTTTCAATTGGATCCAATCCTTGAGCCACGTCATGGCTGCGGCCTGATAATAAAGTTCCCAGTCTGGGAGGCCAAAACCTCCTTTATTTCTGCTATCCTGCAGGAGTTTAAGTTTTATGAGGGCTTTTTTCCCTAACCAAATAAGTTTGGATGCCATTTTGTTTAATTGTTCAAAGAAAATGTTCCCTAATTTTATTGGTATTGTTTGAAAGAGATACAGTAATTTAGGTAGTATATTCATTTTAATTGTTGAGATTCTGCCAATTAATGATACCTGTAATTTTGCCCAATTGTCCAAGTCCTTTTTTATTTGTTGTAATAGTCTGTTGTAATTATCTTCTTTTATCGTAATACATTTTGCCGTTAACCATATTCCCAAATATCTAATTTTTTTGGCCCTCAAAATCCCCAATTTCTCTTCCAGTTCTTCAATTTGTCTATTGGTAAGATTCTTAGTTAACATTTTAATTTTCTCTTTATTTATTTTAAGCCCTGCTACTTTACCGAATTGTTTTATTTCCTGTAATAATATTTGCCCATTTTCTAACGGATCTTCTATAATGAATGCCAGATCATCCGCAAAGGCTTGTGCTTTATATTCCTCCTTTTTAATTTTTAATCCCTTTATTTCCTGATTTTGCCTGATTTGTAATATTAACAAGTCCATTGAGAGAATAAATAACAGGGGGGATAGGGGACATCCCTGTCTCACCCTTTAGTTATATTGAAACCTTCTGTTAATTCTCCATTTAGTATTATTCTTGCCACCTGGTTTGAGTAAATTGCTCTGATCATTCCAATAAATTTTTCTCCAAAATTCATCACTGCTAATTGATTTATAAATCCCAATTCAAGTTATCAAACGCTTTTTGTGCATCAATAATCTCAATGCTGATTGTTTTCCTGGTTGTGCTTCATAATATTTCAGTACATTCATTATAGTTCATATATTATTTTTTATATGCCTATTAGGTAAGAATCCGTTTTGGCATTTGGTGCAAGAAGCCTGCAACCGCTGGCTCTTTTTTGGCCCAAAAAGCCTCCAGCCACTGCTGCCAGCTTGGTTCTGGCTGGCAAAGAGGCGGCAGCTGGAGGCTTCTCGCGCTGAAAAAGAGGTGGCTGCAGGCTTCTTGTACCAAAAACTACAGAAAACTACAGGCCGAAAAAGAGGCCTGAAGTCCCGTCGCCACTGTCGCCACCCTGTTCTTCATGCTGGCTGTGCACACGCTCCCCATTGCCTGCTGGTGTGTGTGTGCAACCGCAACCCATTGTCAGACCCGGCCAGAAAACGGCCTGCTGCGCTCCACTGGTGTTGCAGTGGAGCTGCTCAGAAGGAAGCCGCCACAGTCTGTCCCTTTAAGGTACTTCGACGGGGGGGGGGGGGGGGGGGGACCATAAAAGGACAGGCTGCAGGAGCTGCCTTCTGAGCAGCTCTGCTGTGAAGGGAGGCAGAAAAGTTCGGACAAGTCTTCTCCTTCTCAGACATACACACAGAGTGTGCACACATCTCATGGCGCCAGGACCTTCTGCAAGCAGATGGCACGTAGGCAAGTGCCGCCCCACCTTGCTGTGAGTGATGTCGAGTTGGCCATACCCACTCAGTCCCTTGACCCCCACCAAGCCACGCCCACCAAGCTACGCCTACAGAACAAGTAGTAAAACAATTTGAATCCTACCAATGCCCAAGGTGGTAGAGAAACTGGGACTGAGAACACTGAGAGGTGCCCATAGCATTGTTGTTAGGCTCTGCCCAGGGTCTAAGCTCCGCCCACCACCCTCAAACTAACGGGGCATGTGAACATTCAAACTCGGTTCTGGAACAATACCTCAGGTACTATGTAAACTACCAGCAGGACAATTGGGCCAACTTGGTTCCTTTTGCGGAAGTTGCTTACAATAACACGATACATAGTAGCATTGGCTTCACCCCGTTTAAAGTTGCTTCTGGTCAGGATTTTCTACCCATTCCAAAACTGCCCCAGGGGAAACCCCAGCTCCCTTCCTTAGTGGAATGAATTGAACAGCTTCAATGTATTTGGCCCGTCACCTGTAAGGCACTAGACGAGGCACATCAAGCCCATAAAAGACAAGCTGATAAGAAAAGAGCTAAACTGAAACAGTTCCAAGTAGGGGACAGGGTCTTCTTGTCTACAAAGTACTAACAGATCATGCAGAAATCAAAGAAACTGAAACCAAGATTGTGCTGGAGAGGTGAGAGTGCGCAGTGATTGGAGCTGGATAAGGCGAACCTTAACTTCTTTTTAAGATTAGACCCAAGAAGAAAATTAATCCGGGAAAAGAGGCTCTTTGGAATATTTTTAAGTGGCAACCAAGAAAAGGCAGAGAAAAATTGTACCCTAACAGGAAATGAGTGAAAGATATAAAATATGAAAAGACTGGAGGTATAAATTCTAGTGGCATGACTCTGATCAGACACTTGAAAATGAAAATGTTAAGCAGCTGATTATCTATTGGATATTTTGTTTGAATTAAATTGAAGTATATAATTGGCGAAATAGCTTTAAAGTGGCTTTCTAACATTGAATTTTAAGCTGACACACCACCTACTGGTGAATGGATATATACTATGTTATACTCTTAAAATAATCAAGCAGCCTTGGAAATTTCTGATAAGAGAAGAAGAATACCTGAAGGTCTGCTGTATTATTTACTGTTCTACACCTATCTACTTTATGGTCACTAGAGGTCCAACCTTGAAAATTTAGAGGATGTCTAATGGAATGATTTTGAGTACTGGAACTAACTAACAACTTAAAGAGTGGATCTAAAGGATAATTTCGAAAAACCCCTGAACCGTATAAATGGAACCTATTGACCAATAGTGGGATATATAGAACTATAACTATTGTATCTTCTGATGAACAATGTTAAGATTTTGGAATCTGCTGGCTTCAGGGAGTTAAAAAGAATAGACTCTAGAGCAGTGGTAGACTATTGATAGAGCATTGAGTATTATTTGGACTCTTCAAGACAAGGCAAGATGGATCCTCAGGAAGAATTGGAGGCATTCCAAAAAGAGACTATGCCACTATTGCAAAACATTTATGATGCTATGATGGAGAACTTCAGGGAGATAAAGGACTTGCTATATAATATAACTGGAAAGTCTGAAAATGTGCAATAAGGAATGATCAATCAAGATAATAAATTCCAGGAAACAGGGGAGATAACTGGAACCTTAGAGGATGAGATAGAACAGAATGCACAACAAATAGAACAAGGAGATAAAGAATAGACAATAGAGCGGGGTGAAATAAAATTGGGAGAATATATACTAGGAGGTAGAAAAATGGAAATCAACAAATTGAAAAACATTTCTGGAAAAAAGATAAGATTTGGTAGATCTGTGGGTGGACTGGCAGCAAAAAATAACGGAGATGGAAATAATGGTTGGATTGAAAATGAAAGTTGTAGATGAGGACTCAAGGGAGGAATATGGGAGGCAAGTTAAAAAGAGAAGAAGAGAAATTCCCAAAAGAGTAAGAGATGATGGATAAAAAAAAATTTTTTTTCCTTAAAAAATAACAATGAGAATAATAAGATTGGCCATACTGAGAATTAGAA